AGGAATCTGTTCACCTCCTTAACGATACCTGGTTTCGCATTGGCGAACCATTGGTCTGGCCAATGACCGATATCATCAGAGATCTGGTAAAAAAGAGGTTGACCTTCGAGCTCCTGCTGAGCGTAGATCTCCATAAGGAATACAAGGGCTGCGTCGATTTGCTCCTTGTTTGGCTCATCTGAAACCTCCAATGCCCAATTTCCCCAACAGGCGGGGTTGATGCCAAGCCACTTGGGAGGTATGGGGACCCTTGCCAGTGCCATCCTCACTGACTCGCTTATGGTCGTATCCTTGGTCGTGTTCATACTGCTGGCAGCAGGTAAGTCTGACCTCGGGGTGATAGGGGTCGATTCGTCCATTGGGCGCGGTAACAGTAGACTGTCGTCGCTTGATGGATTTAGCGGTGTCTGGGAGCTTCCGGCCCCCTCTTGCCTTCTCGCCGCGCCTCTCGTGACTACTCCTGGGCGCGTCGGTGAGCCTTCCCCTGTGTCGCTCGTCATCATCGCGACCTTATTCTCACGTGTCGTGCGTTCCTTCCGTACTTCGTTGGGGCAGATTGCGGGGAGCCTGACGACGTCTCGATCACGTAGCGTTTCTCCCCAAGTAGACACCCGGGAGGCGTATACGTACGTTAGACGAATTACCGCTGGTCGCTGATCTGCTTCCAATCGCGAGGTATGGATAAATGCGCTGGATCCACGGAATGGGCTCTTCTCTCCTTCGTAGCCGTCGTTCCCTCGATTGCCGTCTAGGCTGTACTCCGCGGGGAGCCTCGTGGGCTAGGGAGAGGTTCTTGTGGAAGGAAGGATCGTATCGGAATCGTAATCAGGTCTGTCGACGACGCGGTCGCCGATGTGGGTTGTTTTGATTTCCTTCGCGGGCGTAATGCGCGGGCCGCGAAAAAATTGATGTAATTATCGCGGGGGGTCGCCGCGGTTGGTTGTGTAAAGGGAAGGAAGATCGCGACCTCGTCGTAAGAGGTCGGTAGATCTTTTGATTCCTTCGCCGGTCGACGGTTGCCTGGGCGGTTCCGTCGGGTCGTCGAAGGACGTAGCTGACGTAATAGACGCCTACCTCTCGTGAGAAGTCAAGGGCCACGATTCCTCTATCCCGTGCGGTATTAGAGGGTCGTCTCTTGTCGTCTTCTCTCGTGAGGTCAAGGTAGCACGATTCCTCTATCCCGTGCGGTATTAGAGGGTCGTCTCTTCTGCTCAGTGGGATGCCTTGCTGATCTGCGATAGTGGAATTTAACCACTGATCAGTGTTGGTATCACCTCTATCACAGGTGATCTGGTTCGAACCAAATGGATTCGGGGGTGACGAAGGGTCAATTCTCTGTATTAACTGATTCTGCGTGGTATGTAACGGTGCAACGCTGAGCAACATGGCACCGCATGCAGATAGATCTAGGGTCACAGGGAGCGTGAATAACAATATGATGCGTATGTTTCTTGCTATCAACGACGTTCAAAAAGTATGCGTTCAAGTGTCTCTATCAATGCTTCATGGTGCTATGATGGTGTAATGAGGTGTGCTTCTGGCACAATATCGTCCTTACACAGCAGTTTTGGTTTGTGCCGATACCAGCACTTGAACGAGGCACTGGCTCGAATCAAAGCCCACATTGAGAGCCCCTCGGGTGCATGTGATGGCTTCAGGTATGCCACCAACCAAGGGTCGAGTTCTCGGTCGGCCCTGGGTTCGATGGCGCACCACTCTTTGAAGACGTCCACCATGAGACTCGGACGCTCGTTTTCATCTTTGACTGAGGCCATACTAGTGGTCCACTTTGTTTTGATTGCCTCTAAGTCCTCATTCAAATTCCTCAAGACATTCTTGAGCACCAGGAACGTTGATGCTAGCCTTTCAACTTCGTTGTATGGCTCTCCCAGATCAGCGTCCCAATACTCTGCGTTGGGGGCCGCCTCGGCGCTTGACGGCAGGGTTACCAACTCGCGGCTAGGACTAGGACTCAAGCTCGTGTCTCGGTCGAGCTTGCGCAGTTCTTCTTCGATATTGGGTTTTGCGACCGAAAACTTCAGGTGATCGATGATGTGGACAGGGTCACCTCCGCCCATCCAGGTTTCGTGTTCGTAAGCTGGTTGGATCATTTCCTGAATTGCACATCCGTTCAGGACCTGTCTTTCAAATGATCGCCAGTCCCTTTCTGTGAACTCGAACCCTTGCTTCGACTGATCGACCAGGCTCCCAAGAAGTGCGCTCAATAAGAGAGCCTGCTTGTTGTCTACATCGTTCAAGTTGTAGCAAAGTTGTTCCTTGAACTTAGTAGCGATTCCCAAGAAGCTCGGTTGCATGTTGAAGACAATACCACGAGTGATCATTGCCAAAGCTGCTAGAGGCTTGTCAATTTCTCGAGTGAGGTCTCCGTACGACGTTTCATCCTTCCTGAGATACTTCGAAATGTCTGGTTTGGCCGGTATAGTGGCATTCTCAAAATTAGACACGATAGCTGGTTCCCAACATACCCAAGCCCTGTCTCCATCATAGTCACCGCCTGAAAGCTTGTCGGCAAGCGCAATGTCTCCTTTTGCCGAGAATACGACGACGTCTTTCAATGCGCGCAACTCCGGCTTGAAAACGGCTTTGACCTTCTGTATATCGCTAGCGATGTGCGCCGGAGATCGTGCGACAAGAACATCGCATTCATGCAGCATGGAGTCCGAGAAGCTTTCGGTTCGAAACGTAGATGAGAAGCATATATGCACCTCGTTCTCTTCGAGGATGTCCCAGAAGTCGACCACCATGTACAAATACGCTGAGCTTGGGATCTTGATGTTCATCTTCTTTAGCAGATTTTTACATCTCGCGTGCCGAAACTCCCATAGCATGTCTTGCATGAATTTCTGTTTGGTTGGTTCGAAGCCGCCGTCGATCAAATAAGTTAGCTGTTCTTCTTTGGATTCGGGGAGCCCGGCCAGGAACGGCACGCTGTTTTGCGTCATACGTTGCTTCCTAGCGGCGAAATTTTCATTCACCCATTGCCGAAATTGTAGCGGATGCTTGAGGGCATCTTTCTGGACTTTGAATTCGTCGCTGAGCTGGTCTAGGAGCCTGTCTCCCACAAACTTCCTCATGGCCTGCTTATCTTTGGCACGGTCTTCTAGAATGGGAAGGAACTGAATGTTGAGGCTCGCGGATCGAGGCTCTGCAGCAACGTGCTTAATCTCCAGGGTCCGATACTCCTGTTGGATGAAGTCGCAGTCCCACTTTCTTTGTGAGGGCCAGGTCTCTATCCAAATATCGCTTCCAGTGTCTTCGACGTCGACGATCCACACGCCTTTGGCAGAGCCCAGACGACCCTGTATCGTACAAGGAATGTCGCTCAACCCAAGAACGTCCCTGACCTTACGGGCAAGAGATAGCGACATGCGGCCAATGCCATCATTCATCACTTTCTTGGTTGGTGATTCGATATTTTTCTGTTGGTGTCGTATCTGATTCTGATCCAGACAAGCTACTGCGGTCGTTTTGGTGAGACCCAGTTGTATGCGGGCAAACAGCTTACGGTAAGGTTGGTGACCGTTGCGATCCAACTGCAAGAGCCAGTCGAGCATCTCCCCAACCTCCAGTTTGGGTCGCGACTTTCTGAAGATGTGCACGGGCCGGTGGTCGGGAGAAGGACCGTCGTCAAAGTTGATTCCGTCTTCAGCAAAATAGCTCAGCCTTTTTTGCAGAATGCTTCTCGGACGTGGATCCAAAAACACGTTCGTCTGAAGAATCTTGCGCCCTGCGTCCCTTGCGTAAAAAGCTCGCCACTGTCTGCCGGCTAGGTGATGCATTTGAGAAGAAAGCCAGCCGATCACCTCTCGAGATACATCGGGCTCTCTGATCGGAGTCGTCCATGAGCTCGGTGACGGGACCACTATTTCAAGGAATCGATCAGATCCAAATTTGCGGTGCAGACGGCATCCTTGATCCAATATGGCCGGCTCCAATTTCAGGGAGAATATTGGGCCAGATCTAGCGTTCTTTGTTTGAACGAGAGAGGCCGCGAAAGAGACATGCTGCCCATTTGACGACTCAAAGCCGCTTAGACCTGCTGTCCAAGCATCAAGTGTTGGCCTTTCGGGGAAACCCTTCCCATTGAATGGATGTTGCTCTCGAAGGACGCGGTATAGAGTGTCGTAGTCTCTCCACGTTTCATCGTAAGACAGGATAATCTCATCAAGATCAACATCACAGTGGAGCGCAATACGGGTGATCTCCCATGCAATAGCGAAAGGAGCTTGTATAAGCCAATGTGGGAATTTTGCTAGGTGTAGTCAGCGCGAGAGCTGAGAAGAACATACCTAGCTGCCGAAGTCACACCACGCTGTAGATAGGGGGCTAGGGGACTAGGGGACTCACGCCAGGTCGCATCGAGCCGGCACTGAAGATTGGCTGGCTCTGTAGGCATCGAGACACAACAGATTGGCTCATATAGGTTTGGGTCATCAATGCCTGAAATCTCCGTGTAGACAGTCGAGAGAACAGGAGAGCCCTCGCCAGGGGTTGGATGGGCGTGTAGCCACGTCGATACGTTGAAAATAGACCCTGGGAAAGAACTATTGGGAACATCTTGAGGAGCCGTTGGATTCCGCAAATTCACTTGCTCGGTGATTGTCTCCTGGGTCCCAGCGGGGAGCGCCTTTGCAGTAGAATCTGCTAGTGGGTGCTCTGAGCTTGTATTCCTGACGACGCTGCCTACTGATCTAGCACCGCCTTCATCCGGACTGTCTACCTCTGCGGGCGTTTCTCTTTTAGGCTGAAAAACTTCAACATGTGTGCCTGCTGTCGCCATGCTTTGCTCATGGACCGTAATGGTGTGGGCTGCCCTTTTTAGGACACCGAGGAGTACCATCTGGAGTTCCAACATCTCGCCTGGGGAGCCGGCCTTGGGCTTTTGTGTCGTTGCGAGACTCGGATCGCGGCAATCATAGGGGCGAATCCATTTCTCGCTGGCTGCGAGGGTCTCCCAACTGAAGGAGTGCAAGACTGTCATGGCTAATTTGTCTTTTGCGCTTCTTAAAATTGGGGCTTTCGATCAAGCAGAGTCGCCGGGAAAATCCGCGCTGGACGAGAGGGAAAACAGTTTGGGGAAAGACCACCCGGACACCAATATGTCCATGTCAAATCTGGCCATGATATACAATGCCCAGTTCAAACGAGTGGAGGCGGCGGGCTTGATGAGTGAAGCAGCCCAGCGAAGCTCCAACAAACTGGGGGACGAACATCCTATCACGCTTCTTTGCGTCTTCAATCTAGCTGTAATTCGCTGCGACCAAGGACACAAAGGTGACGCGATGCGCGTATGGACGACAATTTTGCCGAAGATGCGGGCTGCCTTGGGGGCTGGACATGAATCCACTGTCCAGTGCGAACGGTATGTGGCGACCTACAACAAGGCTATGGAGCCGTTGGCGTGTGCAAACATGACAGATGGTCATATGTAATATGCAATGCGATTCCCGGAACGGACAGCTTTATGTTTTCAGAATTATGGTGCACTGCTACGATATCCATGGCTTGCCTCGCAGATTCAAGAGTTGGTGAGATGCGTAACCTTTAGGTACCAACGACGAACACATCTCTCGTCTTCACCTTCTTGTGTACAGAATAGTATGACCAGTTCAAACAGAAGCTCGTCTAAGCTACCTGCGCCCTCGGTCCCTACTACCTCGGCTTCCGGTTTTCTTGGACATTGCGTGTTGGTACTGGTATCGCATTCGTTTGACTGCTATCGTCGCAAAAAGACTCGTCAGGATCGCCGAACTGATGACCCTCGTCGTCGCTGCTGCTGGCTAGTGATTGCTGGTCGTCAAGATCGCTATTATCCTCTTCCTAACTATCTCTGTCGCTGACTTCTTTTATATCTTCGCATGCGCAATCTGCGGAGATATCTGTGTTCAGACTCTCACATTCCCCACGTTGAGGAGTTTTCATGTTCAGACAAGGGTGGTTCCAGACCTTCCACAGGCAACCCAGTGCTCTTCCATGAGGGACACGCCGGCTGCATCTCGTCGGAGATCTGTTGACAACCGATAGACCCGGAAGATCAGCGACACAATCCTTTGGAGCACGGAAATGTAACGTTCTCGAGTGTTCTTGCCAGAAGCGTAAAAGGCTTCGGATAGCACTTGCTCGGGTGCACACTACGTAGTCTGACGATTTGAACTACTTAAGAAACCATCTGAGCGAGTAGACATGCCAGTTATGCTTTACATATTGAGCTGGGTATGCCATTTCTTCTCCCAGACATATTTGTCTATCGATACAAATCGTTGCCTATACGATGGTCCCTATTGTTGCGTGAACAGAAAGCATACCCGTTATAGTGTAAAGAAAGTTGTGATGGGGAGTTATGGGACGATTGCATATGAGTGATGGCAGATAAAGTGTGAGAAGATGCGTTAAGTGATTGCTGTGAGTTTGTGGAATAAGAATGAAAGTTAGTCTATATGCTGCGAACACGAATAGTGTTCTCAAGATATCGATTGATTATCTTAGTCTTGAAGTAAAGGAAACGTGGTTTACATGTGTAATGTTCTGAAACTAGGGTGTAGGATGGCGCCGTAACCTCGGCACGATCTCCTATGCAGACTATCAGAATGCCTATTGTTTTATTATTAAATTGAAACTCTAGGCTTATAAGCTCTAAACAGAGAGTTTGATTTCTCTTAAGAGATGCGAAACACAATATTCCTTAATTACGCAACGCCGTAAGTGACTCAAGCTAGTTGGGATACTTAGCGTCCTTCTACTATATCTGCTATTCGATGGATAGAGAATTGGGTGCAATACTCGCAGTAAGAAAGTGCGTTCTGTTCCTTGCCCGACGTCAGCCGCCTGACCCAGACTTGCTGCCGCGATCTGTGACACCTATAATACATCACTAAAGTAGGGTGACCGAACCGGGGCGCTTGATAGCGTGTCCAGAGATTCTAACAGCAGCGCCGAAAGGTTACATGAGGTTAACAAAAGTATAACAGAAGATGTTGACCGCTTCGGTTATTCTTACTCTTACTGCGCCCACATTATCAGCTTGCTTTCCAAGTACTACTATACGATCTCTGGAATTCGCTCTTTCCCCTCACTTTATATCAAACAGCAAGGAGGTATTAGAAATACGACTCAGACCCACACGCAATCGACTAGACCAGGACAGTCGCCGAGCCGAGCCTGGGCCACCGATAATTCGGAAATCGCGCAAAACACGCAGAAACCTTCTATAACGGGTATCAATCTGGCTCGGAAACCAACGGGAACAGGGATGCCAAAGATAAAATCAGACAGCGTTGCGACAACCGCTACGTAACCATCCGAAAGCAAATGCTGTGCGCAGAGAGATCGCGAGATAGACCTCGCCGACGACTTTCAGACTCGGGTAGAAGTATTCTGTGTCATCGGGGAATCTTCAACTTTGAACCGGGGCATAAACCATGGAACAGCGCGGGGAAGGCCAGTGCTGACGCGGGAGCAGGGGACTTTACACTTTCTACCGGACAGGTTATAGCATGTGAGAGGGTGAAGTTACAGGGTGGACTCCAACCAGCAGCATGCGACAAAAGCATCAATGGGTCACATAACGGAAAGAGGCCAAATTGCGCTTACACAAACATCAGCTGTCTCAGATACCCCTCGAGAGTCAAGAATTGGGCCCTGAGTGGTGGATCCTCGGACTAGGGTGTGTGAGAGCTCGCATTACGTAGGGATTACATGTGGTCATGGAATCCATTGTTGTTATACTCATCTCCGTTGCATCCCTCCATTTGCTATCGCGGTTGAAGATCAAGGAAGTATAAGAAGCCTCTGGCATGGCAATGCACCGCTGCGTTTTTCTCGACGCACCGTCCGCACAAGAGCCATCTTCAGCATGTCCGTTTTCGAACGTGACCTTCCAAATTCGCCAGCCCAGCAGATGAACCAACTTTCTGTTGCTCTCAGCGCCGTGGAGCAAGAGATCAAAATGCTTCAGGATAGGTTAGAGACACTGGAAAGAGAACGACAGCGGCAAGACATCCTGATAGCGCTCCAGGACCAATATATCGAGGTTTTGGAGAAAGGGCTGGCATTGGAGACACCGATATATCGGACGGAAGATAGCTATAGAGAGAGCCGTAGCACCACCCAGGTCGTCTAGTAGAGCCGCGGCTTCTAATGTCACTTCTTGCCTGACCTCTTCCCTCCAATACACTAGTACCAATCCGAATCTCGATCGTGCAGGGACCATCGCACGTGGAGCATGCTGCGCATTTGAGGATCGATTCGTCTATGGGTGTGAAAAATACATCTAGTCCTTCCAGAACAACGCGAACTGTCAAGTATTCCATACTTAGCCAGATTTAATTGCATCTGGTTTGTGTTGCGCAGTTGAGACGATGCGCAGTTGAGACGAAACTCCTATGCATGTTCGAGTTATCGTCCGTACGCCAGACGTAGTCCCTATCATCGCTCAAAGGGCTTACATTTAGCGTACCGTCCTGAGCAGACTACTGCACACACCAGACCAACGAAAGGTTAGCCGCCGCTGCTAGCGCGAAGCCTGACAAAATGAACGGGCTAGACTCTGTTGGTCAAAGGTACGGCAGACCGGTTCTCCATACGTTACAAATCAGCTGTTGGTTATATCTTGAGATGTCGTGAAAACTAGAATGACGTTGGTTTAACGTTATCAATGTATTGGCCCACCTAACTTTGAGGCGCTGCAGCTGCCCCCGCTTCGATGAACGAGCAAATTGATAGGCCTGGACTGTGCCTCTCCTGAGCAAGCGACCATAAGCTTTGGAGCTTCGGATTTGCCAGGCCGTCGCAGTGCAAGGGCGGACGTCCAATCATCACCTGCAGTGTACAGGAGCCACCAGCCCTAACCTAACCACCGGCTAATTGGCGCAATGCATCATTCGCTTGGCCCGCCCTTCGACTTTTTTGGTGATTGTCACTCCGCAGTGCCTTGGCCTGTATGAATCATCCAATATAGGTCCATTGTGGGGCCATGTTTGGTGAGCTAACGAGCTTGATAAACAAAGGAGTGGAAGTAACAGCGTCGAAGCAGCGGCCGCCAGCAGCCTCAACCGAAAACCGTGTTGGCCTTCCGGACCAACGATTTCTCCCCTATTCGCGGTGTGCGTTGGGCCCCCTACGGCGGGAGATGGACGGACCATTTCCTCGATGCACACCTTCCACCACGGTTTTCGAGGAAGCCTTCGTTGCCGGGGTCGGCTGACTTTGAATCCATTTTCTTGACCGCTAAGTTTTCCGAGCACAAGCTCGACTCTCTTAGTGGGCTACGCGCTACAGCCGCAGAGCGGCCCATTCACCGTTGGGCGGTCTGATTGTGGCTTGGTCTGGAAACTCGCAAGGTATCCTGTCTGCTCGCTGCACCGCCGAAATATGCATACGTGGTAGACTTTCAACAATACTTTTGAATATTAGTGTTGATATCCCTATCATAGAGAATTCGATTCGAACTGTGAGTTGATGAAGAGGTTAATTGATCTATCTGAACTTCTGCGTAAGGTGTAAGAGAGAGGTTCCACCTACGGGTTGGGCAGGCCGCGATTCTCGTAAGTGGGGCTTGTAGGTGGTCGCTGCGCGGACCCCTTGCCTCGAGGTCGAATTGGACTTCCAATCCGACAATTAGCAACAGTAGCTTACGGTGTGAGACGCGGACGCACAGCTTGCTTTCGGAGATGCCGAACTCGATTGCATCTGTGGCGTGGCAGAGACTCGTCCTAGTGGAGGCGACGAGTTTGTTCGATCGCCTTGTAGGCTGTCACGTACGATGGACCTCTTCGCAACGCTTCATGACTTGCTCGGACTAGGTTGCGGCCGGAGAATCTTGTCGGACATTCAGCCGTTCGTGACATGCTCGTCTGGGCTCTTCCAGGCGGTGCCAGGAACGATGACTTGCTTGCTCGTCGAGATCCGATTGGGGTCGCCGAACGCTTATCATGAGGTCATTCGCTTGGCCGCCCTGTCAATTGTCGCGCATCTCTGGTACCTCAGAAAGCCATGATGAGGACGACAGACCGACCGAACGGTAAATTCGACCAAAATCAATCGACTATTTGCCAAATTGTCTTTCCAGAGCATCACGATCGCGGTAGCGGATTCCGAGAAAGGTGGTACCATCGGCCTTCTTCTACAAACAGACGGGGAATAAATGGAGTACAACAAAACAAAACGTGCCAGGGTAAGATAACCTTTCAACAAAGTAGGTAACATGGCTGCAGCAAGTAAGTTGAAGATGCCAGGGGCCGCAACACCTCGCTGCTAGACGGTCGGCGAACGGCCGCCTAAGTATAATTAGCTCTAGTGACTTTTCTTCATAAATCGCCTCCAGAGTGGCCAGTCACCTAGCCATTGACCAGTCAGTACGGAGTTTCGTCGCATCTCAAAATCGCTTCAGTGCTTTAATCCAATGTTCGCAATGAATCTATTCACTGACTTTATCAAGTTCACATCATTACACTGTCAGCCTCCGTAAGTGTCCCTCAGACCTTCGTACGACATTCAACTGACACTGCCGGTAGAAATAGCAATATCCGCCCGGCCGTAGGCAACCCAGAAGATGCCTTTCCCGCACCTGTTCGCGCACCGGTCGCAAGCATGATGCCAGACATAGCGGGCGACATCGAGCACACCCTGCCCAGCATCTACTCTATCACCGGTCATCGCCGTGACGCTGATGTCGAGACACTTTTCCAGCTGCGAATCGAGGGGAAAGACGGACGACAAGCTTGGGTCCCTGAGAGGGCTGTTCAAGAGGATTCAGAAATGGCGCTTTTCGCCTACTGGAACAGCGTCGCGGATGGGCGTTTGGGCGCAATGGCCCACAAAGACCTTTGGCATCCTTTCAGGATCGAGGGTCATAGAAAGACTCATAGGGGTGGTCAGCTATTGGTTTACTGGGTGGGGTCGCCTGATCGGTCTTGGCAATACGAGAGAGTCATTAGGAAGGCTGGTCCAAAGCTCGTCGAGGACTACTGGGATTCTATACGGCAACATCAGAAACAGGACCAAATTATCCTTAGTGCGAGACAATCAGCTCGTCGTCGACATAGAAAGCGGAAGATATGTCAAAACCATGCAAGGTCAAACAGGATAACCGAGAAACACGCGTCCCCAAGGCGATCGAGGCAGCCGACATAGGGCGGATAAGCTTGTGCAATCTCGTAGAGGAAACTGTCTTTCTTGCGTTCATAGATGGGAAGAACGCCGCTACAACTTAATTTTCAGGCACTGCACCATTCGGATAATAATTCCGCCATCGCGGGTCTCTAATTGCACCTGCCCCCTCAGCCGTGATCAGCAAAGACTCTCTTCTATCTTTACACCGTCACACTCATGCCAAGTGTGGCAAGATTACCACGACTTTCGGTGGAAGCGCTAGCGGCATAATTATCCGCATTATATATTATGGGGGGTGGTTTATCTCATTACACGTACGATTATACTGCTCATCATCAAATCTATTAGAGACATGTGACGGCAACACCGCATTTTTGTGTTTCGCATAGAGCTACTTGCACTTGTCGTAGCATGGTTCTGCGTCTCAAGGGGCATTATTTCGAAGGTCACAGGTCTCTTTCTTTGAGAACTGGGCGACAAAGTCGACAGAGTCGAACTCGGCATCTGGTAATTCGTATCGATGTCGTCGACCACGAAACTTCAAATAAACTATTGCAGCAATTTGGCATGGACTATTGCCTCAAACTAATCAAACACCCATCCTAGACCGTTGAGAGATTCAGTTCGTATGAGTGACGGCAATTAGAGCTCTAGGCGAATCCACGGTGACATGGCCTACTTTATACATAATATCGGCTGAGATGCTGTGAGGGACAGAAGCCGTTTCGTAAGTCAAGATGCGGAGCGGCTTTATCCTTGGAGTAATCAAATGGAACCTTTCTCTAATCATATGATGATCAACGTTTATCTTAAGATGACGACTACAGTAGTTGACTATATGAGTTCTAGCGAATTGGGAGATGGGGCTTGGCAGTGCTACAGTGCTATTTCATTTCTTCTTCTCTTCCTAGGAGAGCCTATAAGTCTCATGGCAACATGGTGGATTAAAACACGGCCCTGGATATTGTATTGATTTATCGGGCTTTCAATACCCATTGTCATCAGCGAAAGTTGCTCAATGGCATACGCGGCTTTGTTCTCATGTCGACTACCGGCGGTGGTTCGTCAGTCAGCACCCCTGATGGCGCGCGGAATGGAGCAGCTGACAAACCAGGCAACTCAAACGCTGTTGACGGGGGATTCTCAACACCATGTTTCCTCCCTTGCTGGTCCGTCGGCTGTTCCCGGTAGTAATAGTAGTGATGATTGTGATCGTGGTTATGATAGTGATGTATGATAACAATCCGCTCTTTCCTCCGTGAGCGGCATCGCCTGCAGATACTAAGGCCTGACTAGGCGTGAGCCCCTCCAACGATAGCACCTAGACGATGGACTGTCATGACTGTCTCATCAGAACTTGGAATCCTTATACTTGTTTACGAAATCAACGCCGTTGACTCTACAACAATCAGTGATCAGACATGTATCACGGCTAGCTTGTTGTTGTACATGTTGGAGTGTAGAGGATCGATTCGCATTCATATTGTTTGATCACTCAGCTCGGTAACATTGCATCAAGCTCTTAGTGATTGTTGTCATATCCACAGGCGAGCCACGTTACTATCCATTGTCAAGCAGCCTCGGATTGGTTTCGGTTGTTAATAGACTTTCGTGAAGCATGGCACGCTAGGGAAACAAGTATAGGCAGCGACTGAACCTTCTCTCATGTGTAACTTTAAAGTAGTGACAACAGCTGGCACAGAGCATCTCGATTAGTCTTATCACACGTAAGGGAAGAGCATTCCGTCTTGACAAGGAAAAGCCATTACATCGGGGTCTCGATATCAGCTACTGCCCGACGGGATACGGAATGTTCACTACAGTATGACCCTCTAGAACAGCGGGAAAGCCAAGAATATGTGGACATACTGGGTTCAGGCCGAAAGCAAGGTCTACAATACAGGTTTCGTCGTAACCATACTGACAATCATTCCCCTGCGGAATGTTGTAGAGTTGGTAGTTTTGTGCCACCCAACTAGTAGGCTGAGACAAACATTTACCCAAATACGTCATGCTGTTTGATGCAGACAGTGGCAGCTTACCATGCGAGAGGAGATGAACGCACTCCTCCGCCTCCACAAACTCGTAGTCCATTTCAACCCCACCTCCAGTAGCCGGTGCTTCTAGCGCGGACTTTCCCGTCACCAAATAGTTCCACGCATCGTAGCTGATGTCATACGATCCCTGAGACTCATCAACCTTCAACAGATGGAGGCTTCGAACACCATGCGACACCTTGACACAGATCGCATCACAGTCGACGTCGCTCGGCCAGTACGCTACACGATTGTGGTTTATTTTGCATCCTAGTACCCCAACAGAAGAACCATACAAGGCGTGTGGCTTGATGAACAGTGTATGAGCCCTAGTTGCGGCAACTAAACTGGCCGATAGAATGACGATCAACGGGAAAAGCATCTTTGTAGGAGATTGGCTACCTGACGGGGCTTGTGTCTTTTATATTTTGAACGCTCATTCTATTAGATCATAAGCTTCGTAAGGGATGAGGCAATCATTTGAGGTGGCTCGACTTAGCAAGACTTTTTGGGACTTGAATTTACAACTTTAGCGCGTTCTCGTCACTGATTCTGCCATAACCCGAGAACTCAGGCGCATCCTTGCGTATTTCGTCATACTGAGAAGTCTTTGACCAGAATTGCGCCTTTTTGGACTGCTGGTTAAATGATTATGATCGTACGTACCTGTTGGTTTGTCGAGCTGGCGTTTCCTCTCTTGCATTACCTGAATATTTAACACCTGGCGATGATGATGCCGGTGCGACGGAAATAAAGTGGGGGCAACCTACAAGTACATGCACATATCATGACCTGATGTAGCCGATTCCTGCCACGATACAGTCACACAGCTCGAGATCCGATGACAAGACAGCTATGGCACGTCGGATGACGTTGGAGAGCTTAGTTGAATGTAAATACGGATGTCATGAACTCACGTTACTGGCCCGAGTAAACTGAAACCAGGACCACTCATGTCGGCTTTCTTTGCTTTTCTCTTCTACTTCTGCATGAAATCAGGTAACAATAGCTTCCTTTTCTCCCCATATACCCCATTTCTCCTTTGCCTGGCTGGGCAAAAAAGAGCCCACAGGACTTGTATAGCCATGACAGCATCTTCTTCTCAGGCTTACGTACCCATAGCGCGGCAAGCCTGGCCGTTGGAAAACGTCTCACAGCTGAGGCACGGAGTCTCGATGAGCTGATGGGTGTGCTCGGCCTCCACACTGAAAAGCTCTGCGTTTACACAACGCGCCTCAGAACCATGACGACTACATTCGTTACTAAGCCAGACTAGACCACGGGTAGCTCAATAGGGCTCCTGGTCCGTCGGAACGACACCTTCATAGCTGCGCAGGAACTGCTGGATAAACTACTGAGCTTCTACGTACGTGGTTTGACTGTGTCCCTCGCGCGATGAGCCGGCTTCCGCTTCGACGGAAGCGACGCCTGGTCAATCCTCTGCCAGGACAACGTGAGACTCGGTCGGACGGCTGTCAAAGGCCAAAAAAGATCACTGCCAATATTAGCAGCGACGTAAAGACATGTCCAGCAATCTATCGCGTGAGTATTTACATATTTCATGCGTGCATCTACGCAGGGCGACGGTTGGACGACGAACGTGTCGCGTTCAATAATTATATCGACTCAATTTGACGGCGTCTGCGTCAAAAAGACTTCACAGGAGGCATAGATGAGATGGACTAGCACCAGCCTTCACTGGGCAAGGCAGACACGCTATCTGACCACCCCATCAGTCCACTCTACCTAACAGCTACGAGGTTCAAGGAGCCAGCCCCAACTACTGAGAGTGCGAGCATTACATTTCAACCGTCTCAGTCGACAAGTCTTTCTCACGTGCTCTAGGAAAGAACCTTATGACTTGTGAGCGATGAAATACCATCTAGACTACTACATCGTACAGTCTTGTCGTTTTATGAGAGACGCAGGGGCTTGCTGGTGATACATTCCAGCATTGTTGTGGCATCTTCGTGCAAGATAATCCAGTCGACCTCTCCCAATCGGGCCAATTTAGGATACGTTGCATAGGCACCAACTACAATGATCCCCTGGTACTCAGCGTCCGATCCAGGTCGCTGCAGTACACGGTAGCCGTTGTGGAAAGCGTGGCCGATGGCGAGAGACACCCTCTGTGGGTGTATACCGTCTTTAATGTTTACCCAGCCATTGCTTTCGAGCAAGCTGTCTAGCGTATGTTCAGCCAATCTCCAAGGCCCGAGTATGCTGCCCGTGCAGTAGTCGTTCAAAAGGTGGAGACTCAATCTGGTGCTGTCGCGACATATTCCGATGACCAGTAAGCAATCGAATCGATTTTTGTCCAGAATGCGTTTCGCCTCATACGCTGCGTTAGGATTCCAGAATCGGGTGATCGGCGTCAAAGCAAACCAAATCTCATCTTCCATCACATCCGCGTCCTTGAGCAGAAAGAAGTCGTCCACTTCTGGGCAATCGAGTTGTGGGGCGGGCTTATCATGTCCCATACACTCAATGACGTGTCTTGGTTCCGCAAGTCTGGTCAATGTCGGGTCGGTGCCTGTTGGACTTGGTACGATATAGAACTTGGATCGAATTTGGGGTGCATCATGAGCTGCATTGGCTGCTCGTCGACGTCTTACGAGTTCTCGTGACGGGATGGGCGCTTCCGGTCGCGCAACCATTCGCTGTTCATTTGGTCGCAGGAACGATGGCGGAGGAAAGGTTCCCGCCCCTTCATGGCGCGGGGGTGTTTGCGCTCTTTGGAGTCGCCGTGCCTCTGTCAAAACTTTGGCAAATGAAACCATGTTGTTTCTCGATGCTACGCGGTGTGTGCTGTCGCCGGTCAGGATGGTCGACCTATGGTCCTCAGACTCGTTTTGTATGGCTACGTTTGTTAGACATTCTCATCCGATGGACTTGACGCCTACTCCGGCGACTTACTTGGCTGGATGGCACGACTTTATGCAGTTACAGGCTCCAGCTTGAGCAACCTTCAGGTGTCTTCGCGTTCTCGTGCAGAAAGGTGAACGATGCAGTCTCCCAGCCTGAATCCGGGCAGCACTGGGTGGAAATAATGGTCAAGTCATAGTCCTCCAGACACTGTCAGTCAATCAATTCTCGCCTTTACATTCAACCGATAAGCAGTGAGAGAGTTACAGACTTACATTGATACTGTGCTACGCATGTTTTTTCTGTTAACGCCACTTAGCGGCACCAAGTTGAGCTCCCCAAACATCAATGTGCGACGCATGTGGTAGCTAACGTAACCGCAAATTATCGAGAGCGTCATTGTAGTGAAGTCAGCAATCCGCATCTGCTTACGTCTGATGTCAAGAGCAGTCAGTGGTAGCTTGTTCAAGAGGCTGCCAGTTCCAGACATGATAACAGGTACGAGAGGAGGAAAGAGCATTCTAGTAGTGTTAGCCACCGTTGGTCTGCAGTCCAAGCAACCACCTGGCCGACAGTACGCGTTTCATATGAGACATCCTTGCGCATGGGGCAAAGTTAACGTCAACCTTTGATCAGGGCATTTTCTCGAAATATCGCCTGTCAGCTCGTGACAGGATAACAAACTTTTCGTCAAACAACAAGATGGGCGCGTAAGCCTGCGGCGTGGTCTTTGCTACTGCCTAGCCATCTTGACATTTAGGCTCTAAATCGTTTTTTCCTTACGTCGTTGAACGGGGCAAATACAGAGCATACTTGCAGTTTTCATCGTGGCATTACTCAAACTACGAATGTTTTTTCTTAGAAAGAAACAACAATTTGATCTTTCGAAGATCCAACTTGGTGCTCAGACAGGATAGACATGGCCAACTATTGGAAATTAGTAGCTGTCCAGAAACGAGTCTGCCGTCATGCCTGAAAGGGCATACCATTTAACGTGTTCTAGTGAGAACGACTTACGCATCCTTGGTTCGTCCCTTCCAGAATATGCATGGAAAAGGCTGGCAATAGTCACGATGCGCTGAATCACCTCGTCCCAAGCAATGGAGCTCATCAGGCGATGTCCCCAATCACAAGCCCATTACGTTTCACACTGCCTTGGTAGAACTTGAGAAACAGTGAATTTTACGACAGATATTATCGCCGCCAGCTATAGTGGATCGACAACACGTCCATCTTGACTCTGCACTACGTACCTTCCATCCGCTGCGGTGGGCTTTGATTAGCTAGTCCCTTTTCCCCACCCATGTTGGTATCATGTTAGTGTGTTCATCATCCTGTTGCTGTTACGGAAAACCTGGGAACGACAGCCATCGAACTCGTTGCCTCCCTAAGTACCCGCTTTCTGCTTTGCGTCTCGAAACCGGGTTTTTTGTTGCTGCCGCCCCACCTTAACTCTGCTACGTTATTTTGATACTGTTCATGTCATCGTAACGCCTAGATCCTTAGGCGCTAAGGGCAAAGGGAGCAACAATGAAAATATACGAACGCCACCATGTGAACATCCAACTTGAAATGGCTAGTTGTCCAATGCTCATATACCAGCTTCCCGAACTACGACTTCTACGTCGTTATTCACTCTTCTTTTCATTGCAGTCTGAACTCAATATACGACCTGCAACCATGCGGAAGATGCTCAAACGAGATGCTACTGAGCTTGGGAGCCCCGACGAGGTGCCCATCGCGAAAAGGCAGAGGGTATCTCTCTCCAGAACGCATGAGCTAAGTGAGGAGCACTCTCAAGATTTTCTCAAATATATGGAGCACGTAGAGGCATGTACTTCAGAAGTTCAGATAACCTGACACTCAGGTCGCTTCCGCTAAACTGACAAACACCAAGGCCGAGACGATGCTCGACATGAGGCGCTTCCCGGATGGAATAAGAGAAATGAGACCGGACATCGTCCGACATCTCCAAGTGGCTCATGCTATGCTTGGCCTACTTCCAGAAACGCTGTTTTTATCGGTCAACATTGTCGACAGGTTCTGCTGTGAACAAAGCTTCTGTGGGGAGGCATACTACAAGTTGATCGGCTGTACTGCCTTATGGATTGCGTCCAAGTACATTGAAGAAAAGGGGCGGGTGCCATCTCTCAAGCGGCTTATGCAATTCATTCCCGAAGGGTATTATCGAGACGAGAGATTCTTCATCCGGTTAGAAATGGACATTCTTACTGAACTGAAGTGGCGCGTCAACCCGCCAAACTCATATTGCTTCATTCAGCTTCTTGAGATGGACGACGATAACGAAGCTGCAGTGAGGGAGTTGGCAGTGGATAATTGCAAAGCCAACTTGGCTACAACGAACTGATAGGCGCTAGGTCATCTGTTCTGGCTCGTCAATGTTTGCTATTTGCCGGCAATGACTTGCTCGGTGTCAATAGTCAGTTTGGCCACTGATTTGGTCGGCTGACTCCTGAGAAAGGCAGCAAGTAGTCTCCGATTAGATGAAGTTCTGTCTGAGTCGGGAGCTGCTGGTTAGCTCTAATCTTGATTCAGCCATACTTCAGAGGCAATGAGAATATCTACTGTGTCATGGCGTTCTTCAGAAAAACACATCTTGCATCATTAGTGCTGAACCATGTGAAACATGGCCATTTATTCCAAGTCCTCAAACGTTAGCTCTAGGCATCATCTATGAGAAATCAGCCGTTCTTGTGATTAAAACCTCAATCTACTCCACAGCTTGTCCACTTGCCGTGATGAAACAAGGAAAGTCAGGAAGTATGGCAGTGTCGAAAATGGATGAGAAGGATACCAATCCAGTTAGCTCGGTCGACCACATCGATTAATCTGGTCGGTGTATGTGGAGTCCTGCGCTAAGTTGCCGACCCATGATCAGTCCTTGCTGTGATTGCGAGCAAATGCGCTACTTGATTCGCGACGATCAGGGATAGAGTAGGGTCACCTGCCTAAATCAAGCTCTCCATCAAGTAAAATACATTGCGTAAGGCTGTGCTGGAGTATCGGTTCGTCAACTTTAGCAAGGTGAGCTTCGGCGTTATGATCGCCCCTGGCTACTAACATCGTTGGTTGTTAATCAGAGTTTGAGACGCATTAGCACGATCAGCTGAACCTTCCCGTCAATCATTGCCTTCTGCCTTGAAAGCCAATGATCTGCTTCGACTGTCCCATGAACCATATGTGCTCGCCCCCGTCCTCGTAGCTAAAGTCTATTCGTCCAGCCAACAGCCGACACACTCAAAAGTTTATCCTATGAGAGGCGAAAAGGCAACTTAAACCTTCAACTGCTGACTCTGAGATGGACTTCAATCAGATTAGGGCGACGAGAAATCACCACTTTACCCACGAAAAGGGATTTACATTGCCAGAACATGGACAAGTTTACGACGGCCTGGCCTTCTTAGGTTTCGATAATGCGTCCAAAGTCAAGTAAGACTCCTCATAGGTACGAGGCATGTCCACACATCATGAAGTGTATGGGCCACGTGAAATACTTATGTCGGCCAACGCAAACTGCACGGGATGATGTCGTAACATAACAGGTCAAAAGTATCGATTGCTCTAAGATCAGTAGTCAGTTACCCATAAAGTCACGCCGCTGTTCGTGATCGTTTCATGAGGTGATAGGGAATAACCAGATCAATCATCAAACGTTATGTTACGTTGACACCGACTAACAAGCTACGACAACAGACCATATTTGAGCCTCCGCAAATTGACGTCTTGAGAATTGTTCTCAAGGCAGACTAGTCGGCCTAGACCAAAGATGAATGTCGGCAACGTACGGTAGTGACCGCCATCTGAATCAAGATGAACGGCAGCGCAGAGTGTGTGCTGGCATCTCTGAAGAGGCGGCTGAGCGGTGCGAGATGCGCTAATACTGTCTAGCTCTGACACACCGGAAAACAGAATGAACTATTGTACTGTATCATCAGCTTCCATATTATCACTGCTGTGATTGTCACTTCAGGTGCTCTCCTGCTGTGCCCAAGATCACTTCTATCTCGTTCTAGGCCCCTCTGAGGCTGTGCCGTAACCTTCGCTGTATGCAAGATCTTCGTCGGTACCTTTGATTGTTTTCGCCCAACAGCTTATGCTCCTGAAAGTGGTCAGTTTCCCAACGTTCCTACGTGTGATCTGAAACATCGATGTTATGTAAATCTCATCTCTGAAACTGAATGGCAATGATTTCGGACTGTCGAGCCGCCGGGCCAACCCCTAGTATTTTCGCTATTCCATACGAAGCTTGGGCGATATATCAATGGGCTGTCGGCTTCCATTCAAAATCATCAGAAGTTCCTATCATCTCACGGTAAATATGACCTGTGCTTCACCCGAGATGAGAAAGAAAAGGAATCGAGATGCTCAGGCCAAGCACCGAAAGAAGAAGCAAGAAGAAACTAGACGCCTGCAATCAGAAGTGGAACATCTCCGCAGAGAACTGCAGGAAGTCCGTGACGCCATGGCAAGCAACGACATGCAGCGATTGAAATATATTGTGCTAGGTGAGACGCGGCCTTCGACGCCTCAGCCCGATGCGTCAAGCACGGTCGAGTTAGGCACGCCAATCACTGACGGAGGGTACGCCGAGTCGTCCGATCCTTTCCCCATATCATCTATCATTCCCTACTCGAACTACAGCACCCTCGACTGTACGCTCCCCCTAGCAGAGTATAATCCTTACCCCGCTACTACATTTCAAACAGTATTTACAGAAGATTACAACCAAATGCTGCCATGGAATTCGGTTCCAGTTCCGGCATTGCCCAGCATGGGAATGCCAGGATTATTCGACTTGTCTTCGTGGCTCGACCCGCAGCTGATGATTTCATGATAACAATATATACATCCTAGAGAGCAAAACACTTCTCGTCTACTTCATAGATCTTTTCATACAACGAATAATTAGCTTCTGCGAATTGAATAGGGTCCCTTGCATATCCTTATGAAGACTCCGTCCTATGGCTACTATTTTGCATCAATGACGTTGTGCAAAGCTGAATTCAAATCAGCCACATTCGATGTCAGATTCTGCTTTGAGTGATGAGAAAATATTCGCCTTCCAGTACGACTGCAGATAGAACCCCTACTTTGATCACCCACTTGTGACCGGGATCTGTGTACACACCCCATTACAATCTGTCTGACATTATGTAAGTATATCTGTATGACCGTACCCTCCTGTGACCTACCTCAGCAGCCGTAGCCATTGGAAGATGACTGGAGGTCATATTGTTTGGTAATACGATCGCTCCTTCACATGCTGACTCTAGCTAGGGAACAACAGCAGATTGTCTGTTAGGCGGGCCAATGAAACAAGATAACTATGATGTACGAAATCTTGTTTTCGTTATGTAACTTCAGTCACCACGTTGTGGCGGAATGAAAACGAGATATGGACTGATGATTTTGCTTATGACTCATGCACACCGTTCATTCTCTTCGCCAGTTACACGTGAGCGAGGCTATGCCGTGCCAGCAATAATGAAAGAGCGTCCCAAGTGAAAGAGATGTTATTAAACTTCATTATGTATCAGTATCCGGTTAAAGGGTTCTTTGCTCACAGGGCTGGAAGATTCAATGAAGTGGTGTTCGCAGCTATGATCTAAAGTAGTCCCGCAAGCTGTACGTTTGATGTTGGGAAATTCTATTTGTGGCAGTCTTGATAAATATCCTATATCATCTTCCAGCTGTGGAATTGTCGCGTTAGACTTCGGTTCATATTGGTCATGTCTCGACCAACAGTCATAATCATGTGTACTCAAGAAACCTTGGAAGATATCCTCAACGACGAGCTCGCATCGAAGCAGCTGCTACAAGAAGCTCTGCAGGCAGCTGAAGAGAAACACACTATGTGGAAGAGGTTATGCCTGTCTAGTACAACATTGAACATGGGACTCATCAGACTATTGCAGCGGGTCTGAATTACCAAATACCATAGTACCTAGCCTAATGTACGTTGTTGGTTGTGGATATATTCATCTCGAGGCCTTGTCAAGCTTGGCATTGAATATGTTGAGGAACCGCGTTCTTGTTACAGAATGTAGCCGACTTTTGTTTGCTCATATACTTAACTCCGAGTGTTCATGACATCATTTGGCTAGGATTCCTTTGGTTCTTCCTGTTCCACGTCAATCCCGGCCCACACACTGGACGAAGCTGTTCTATGCTGAATGTACCCAGCCCCACATCGACTTATCTCATCTCTGCCCATGTTCGTTAACAGTCGTGTAGGTGACCACAGCAGAAATAGTACGGAATATTACCAAAACATTCGAGGTCCTTCACGAAGACCAAGCGCAAAGGCGCATAACCATCCCTAGCGAAATCGTAGACCCGGCGAAGTCTGTCGCTTCGAAAGCAGGAGAGCACATCGCAACGGCCGTGGCCTCTGCAAAGCAAGCGGTCAGCACACCACTCGCCGACATTTAGCAGAACCTCAGGTCCAAGTTCTTTGACGACTTGACTCGGTAGGAAGACACGGTGCCTGACTACTTCTGTCTCCAAACGCGGGGCGTGTGGCAGCTGGGCTACCCGAACTCGACCAGCAAAATCGTCTCATCTAAGGACTTTGACGTCTTAGATGCCCTCCAAATCACGGTACTCGACAGCCTGTTTAGCACGGCACGCCAGATTGTGCCCGGGCTGCCGGACGGCTTAGTCAGTGACTTGGCGGAAGTTGACTTCAATGTGCTCGATACGATGGCTGCCGCCGCATACTGGTCGCTTGTGGTTCCCCTGGTAGGCACGTTTCTGATGGTTCTGACTTCTGTTCTATCAGGATGGACCAAGTGGCTCCTCTGCTTGCCTCTGATGGTGGTGGGTTTACTTAAGGCCGTCCTCCTAGTCACGGCTCTGGCTTGTATGGGTATTTGTCTACCCGTAAATCTTATTTCTAGCGGCATTCTGTCTGTCCTAGATGTTGGCGTCGCGACAGAAACTGGGACGACGACATGGCTCTCAGTGGCGGCTGTTGCTTGGCTTTTGGTATGGTTCCTTCTCGATTGTATCTACTTGTGATAAGTCACCGTTTCTATGTAAGAAATTAGAGGTGATCTTGTGGATATCAGCCGTGTGTAATTCCTTCACCGCGAAAAGGCTCAAGCTTCTCCTTGTTTCTTAGAGTTTTGCCTTGTATTGAATCTGAAGTTCCCAGATGGGTTTGATTTTCAGTCCTCAGATTTTCAGGCCTCAGTGAGACAGAACGGTCAATCCATGCCAGCCTGTCCGTATATCGAACATGATTACATCCCATTCTAGGGTTAGGATCTGAAACCTGAGATGAGTGTCTCGTGGGCATCATTCATTCACACTTAATACCGTGCACCGCAATCAAGTTGAGTTTCTATAGTACTCAAGAGCCTAGCCCAATCGTCTTCCAGCAACAGTGACCGCATTACTTCACGTGGATGATGTTTGCCCACAGCTGCTTGCTTAGCAGTCCAGCGACCTGAATCGGAACATGCGGGCGTACCGACGGTAGTGGAGTTCTCGATTCGGCAGTCAACTGCACTGAGCGCTGGAACGTGTGCCTCGCCGGAGCGGGTAGGATTCCCCACGTTCAATAGCCGCGATTTCTCATCTACTTGCAAATTTCAGTCGGTCGAAACCGAGCTGTTGGACATGGGATGTCAACAGCCAGTCAGTCTCCTGCTGGCGTCACTGGCAGAACAGAAGCGCACGCGATGATCCTGGCGTCTGGTCAAAATAATGGCAGTATCCGTAGCGCGCGGGATTTCCAGTGCGAGCCTCTTTTATCTGTATCGTTTTTTTTTTAATGGCGGAGGGCCAAGTGACAAGACTGCACGACCGCGTCCTCACCGTTCGTTCTGGATTTGGAAGCACCCAGCGATTATGCATCTAAATCAGTCGTCCAGGCCATGCTCTTACTTCGTTCAGGTGTGTTAGTGTCGGATTGGAAGTCCAATTCGACCTCGAGGCAAGGGGCCCGCGCAGGGGCCACTTACAGACCATACTTACGAGATCTACGGTCTACCCAACCTCCGGTTAGAACCTCCTTTTTACACCTTACGCAGAAGTTAAATATATATAGATTTTGACCTCTTCGTCACCCACGGTTCGAACCATCCCTGTGATAGGAATACCAACAGTTAGTGGTTTAGATTGGTCCAGCATTGTGGCATAGGCCTCCGATGCCCATATACATGCTTTTGTCGGTGCTGAAAAAGCATATTTGCAGTGCGCGTCGTGTAGGCGAACAAGGTCAGGTGAGAGGCAAGCCGAGGCCATAAATAGCTGCAAGAATAGGTGCGAGACATCTCGACAGGGCAATCGCTCTTCACCCTGCATGTTTCTTGTGTATGATAGCTTTCAATCCATAGTGTCCATGGAAGTCGGCTCCTCGGTCCTAACTTGCATATGTGATAAGTCCTGCTCCATAATGTATGTGAAATTGGGCTCCAGGTTCATGGTGCACCCAATCCATCAGGGCCAGGTGCATGCATACTCTAGGCATCGTAGCATTCTCATCGACAGCCGTCTCTCAGAAACAGCCTTCCTATGATAATCCATTTCCAGGGTCAGAAGAAAACTGACGGGTCATTACAGATGTCTTGTAACGAGATTCAGGAGAGAAATTTACACTTCACTCAATTTTGGGAGGCGTTGGTAGCATGATGGACTCTTGATCCATAGTCAATGCATTTCGGTCGCCATGTCATCAGCATCTGGTACAAATGCTTCATAGACTGATCGTTTCGATCGTAAGGAAAATAAGTACGCTCTGAACGTTTGAGCTTATGCCTTGGGCAACTGGCATGCAGTGATGCCTGACTGCGGTAAGGGTTGCGGTTATGGTATGCACCCGTTTCACAGTGACTGCGAAGGGAAGCTCCCATCGATAAGATGCCGTTTCTTCTTGGCAAAGGCCATAAACGCAATCATGGAAGAAATGCAGATGTCATGATTTTCCACCATGTAATATTGCGTACACCAAAGTGACTATTTATGTGTCAATTAGTAGCGATGTGCCTAAAAGGGAGCAAGCGGCTTCGAAAGCGAGACAACATCTCAATCAGAGGCGGCAAAGCGTCCCGAGTCTTCCCACCCACACTGTCAGCACCATTTATGCCATCATCCCCATCATCCCCATCATTCTCATCGTCCCCATCCTCCTCATCCTCCTTATTATCTTCATCGTCTTCATCGTCTTCATCGTCTTCATCGTCTTCATCGTCTTCATCGTCTTCATCGTCTTCATCGTCTTCATCGTCTTCATCGTCTTCATCGTCTTCATCGTCTTCATCGTCTTCATCGTCTTCATTATCCTCGCTACTATCCACACTGTCCCACAACTCCCATGACTCCACATGCAAACAATCTTGGTTTGCCCAAGTGCACCGAAAATTCACTCCTATTTGCGCCTTGACAAAGGCTCCGGCTTTTGCAAACTCGCTAGTTATCTCTTCGAGCAGACTTCTGGACCCAATGCCATTGTCTCGACGTAAACAATACCAAAGTCTGAGTGCAAGAGAAATTATCTCGCATTTTTGGCATTCATTACATTTTTGACGGCTGCTTGACTAAGTAATGTCAGCAACTATCACTGCCTTACAGGCATTACTTACCCGTCTGGGAGAGCTTGTCAGGTCTGCTGTATGATTTGCATACTTCAGGAGTGACTCGGCGAGGAAGTATGATGCAGAGGCAATCTGACTAGGCCTGATCCCAAGGAACTCTTCGTACAACATACTGCTTGCTGCAAGATATTGTGCTATTGTCAAAATGTCTTGACTACTTTTGTCGAGAATCTGCATGCGACGCAGGAAGAAAAAGGGGCTAGGTGTTCCGAGTAAATAATCTAGCGCTCCCAGCAATTGCCTCTCTATGCTTGAAATATCGCTCGGTCTATATCCTTTGCCAAACCCCCCTAAATCATGAAGAACAGAAAGGTAAGTCTCCGTTTCTTTCTCATGCACGTCAGGTGTCTCGTACTTGACGGCTAGTGTGAAAGCTACTGAGCCTAAGACTTCAAGATGTTTACCAGCGCATTTCCTGGAAAGGAAGCGGTCTACAAAGTTGATTGCCAGGAACACAGTCTCCATGGGAATGCGGAATTTTATAGAATACGATAGAAAGCGGTCGACGAGCTCTCTTCTATCCCGCCATTGTAAGTTTTGATGAAGTTCCATGTAGTGTGCCGAGGGCAAGGTTTTCTCCTGCACTATATCAGTTCACAAGGCCCAACAAGGCTATGGGTTCACTTCTTTACCTCTATCGTCAGAAGATGTTCGAACATGATCTCGTCGTTTTCCTCCAAGATTTTCTGTTCCTCTTTGTTTTCTATTAATTTGAGACTCATTTCTTTGCTAGTATGCTGACTTTCCAGCATGCGAGGTTCGATCCGAATCACTTATTCGTAGAGTATAACAGTCGAAAGAGCATCCTTATATAGCCGTACCACCGAAAAGGAGCGAATGTATTAGCTCGCTAGACATTGTCTTGCCTGAGAACGCAGGGCTGAAACAAGGTCATGTTTGAATAATATAAGACAAATAAGTCTCAAATCTCCCATTCGAATACGAATGAGTATTCATCTTCAAGTCACACACCTCTGACGAGAGACAGCAATGTTCACGTCATAGTCATTTGGTAGTTGAGTCATGTAGATGGCAAGTTTGAATGAATGGACAGCGACAAGGCAGACTTCTAGGTCCTATTAATTCCTACATCAGATATCACGTTGTTCCCTAGAAAAAACGACATCCAAAATACCCCACCCCAAAATTTCCACAGTTTACTTCTCATCATAGTCAGCATCACGTTGTTTGCTCCAAGAAATGAGTAAACCAAGAACTTCCTCATGCTTTGGATCTGGCTCACGAAAGTCACTCCAATAGCTCGGAAGCTTTGCATGGAGAAGACAAGTGATCGGTGGGTACAGCTCATTCTTCGACTCAAGTTTGGAATACTGACGTAAGCCGGTTAGGGTTTACGTAGTAAGGTTGGCATGATTTTGTCGTCTTCCAACAGATGACTTCTCGCGCATATTCCTTGATGCTTAATATCGAGAAGAGAAGCTATCTAACGCCATCGCAATTTTATGGCTAACGAATCATCACATCAACAGCCGGGCAATGGTCTTGGCCGATGGTACCGTCGTCCTTAGATTGTCTACTTCGCTGTTGACTATGGCGTGATGCTAATGTAATTAGTGGAATTGCCGTGACGTGTCTAGTGTCATGATTTCAAGTGTCTCTACGCCGGATAACGCTGCTGAACAACATGCGTGAATTGTTTATCAGGGGCCAAAAAGCTATTGCCGCGAATCGGTTTGTTATAGTGACTAAACTTACCATGATCAATCAATTCTCGTACATAAATCTACGTTCCATTTTCTGTCAAGAGTGAGCTAGTAGTGTAGAGAGATCATTCTAGACTTGTAACATAGTCTATAAATTGGCGCATCACTGGCGAACTCTTGGCCTCAAATAGTGTACTCATGACTGAACACACACTACCTTGCGTGGCCCTCCGAGGAAGGTTCAAAAAGCCTCAGAATCACGACAAAGTCAAAAAACTCATTCATACCATTGGCGCCAGTTTTACTGCCGACTTAGAGAAAGCAACTCATGTTGTTACTACAGAACTCTGTTTTGAGAGTGGTGGCCGGTTCATCAAAGATGCGAAGGAGCGGGATCTCAAAATCCTAGGGATAGAGTGGCTGGAAAAATGTAGCGAGAGTCGATGTTTCGTGGATGCAAACCCATATACCTTCCATGATGCCTGCAAAGATCTAGGTCAGCAGGATCGAAGGCGCAGTCATGCGAAGTTCGGCAGGATCTTCGAGAATATCCTGACCATGTGTGATCCCAAGGTCACAGAAATGGTGACTAAAAGGCATTCTGAATTTTGGGCTCTCCTCACTACGCCACCGAGAGAGAGTCCGCAGCTTGCAGTAGAAAAGATTATCACGAGCCTTTGTAAGCCTTTGAAGGATAACGCTGAAGCAGTGAATGCGATTAGACGTCAGGAAGGCTGTGAAAGTTTCATAGCGTTGGTTGACTCGATTGGGGACACCGACTACCTCGCTTCTCAGGTTGAACTTTTGATGATAGTATACAGAGAAGTAGTTCTAGATCACTATGAGGAAGTGAGTCTCTAGGATTCGGCTTAAGTGGAGGAAGAATACAGTTGAATGGCATTTTTAGTACAAAGGTTATGGCTATACATCGAATTTTCAACGCGATGGCCTCACTCGTAGGGAGCGGAATTCTTCAATGGTGCCCACAGGAGACACCAGGCTTCACCGACTTCTTCTATACTCTTCTCCAGTAAGTTTTCTTGGAAGGTGGTGCTGTCAATGGATGGGCTTACGTTTTGGCAACCAGCCCCACGTCGGGATCAGAATTCCAGCTGTACATCGCTTCAAACCATCTGATAAATTGTGATTCTCTATGACAGTCATGTCGACAACGTATTTCAGCTCAGCGCGTCGTGCAGCTAAGTCTCCAAGCAGAAGCTGGCACCACTCGTAAACGTACGGAAACGCATCCCTGTTGACTAGCTTGGGGCTTTGTGTGTGTTTACGCAAGAGTCTTCCGGAGTAGTGTCCTTGGGCCGTCCGAGCCTGTTCGCCGTTGTCAATTGACGTCCTGGGCGCGTCCTGGTCTAGGCTTAATTGTAATAATGTGAAGGCCGAAAATAGGTGACTCGATCCAAAAGCATAGCTGGAGGCCATCGCGACTACTGTGTAAACCATCGCTGACGGCCCCACCTTGCCACCGATAGCACTCAAGGCCTATGACGGCATGCTCAGTACGAGAAGCAGAATACTGTGTACATACTTTCTCTTCTTTTTCATGTATTTCCAAAGTGTTGAAAGCTGCAACGTGCTGCAACAGGCCTCTTCAGACGTCTAGTAATGGCTGGATCCTTCGGTTTACATTGAAAATGAGGAGACAGGATGACATACAATAGTGGGACTAGCGAGCTGCCTTGCGGCCTACCTCAAGGAATCCATCTTCGGCTCCGGACGGTCTGTACAGCTATTCGGAAAGTCTGTTCGGCTATGTATGGCGGCTAGCAAATAGGCATATGGGTGTTCAAACAGTGTATATTGTTGCTTAGCGAATAAGCTGACACCGCTAATATGCGTCCTATTTATCTAAGGAATGAAAGCATAGCCGAACCGTATCATAATAGCCGGCCAGGCTAGCTCAATATGAGGAAGTCATGGCGTAAACGAGGGGCCATGACTCAGGAGTAGCCGGCCAAGGTCTGACGGTTTGTCAGACCTGGAAATTGCATAATCGAGGCATGCACTCAACCCATGCTCGATCCCTATTGCAATGTGGGATATAGGCATTATGGCCATGAATCCCTTCTCTGTTTTAGGTTGGAGACGTAACAACAACACCACACTCGCTTCGTAGGCAATAGACCAATATGCCCAATTGCTGGCCGCCACACCGTCGCCTGACACAATTTTCAAGGCTGGTGCCCAAGTAACCTCTACACGACAAGTTCAAAAGCCATCCGCTTGTTAGAGGCGAAACGCATACCAGACCACGGCGACAGCTAGAGCGAAAAGCAAAAAAATCATAGCTTGCGCACCACCTGGCCTTACACTGGCATCTTCAAATACTTCAGTTTCTTCTTCAGCTTCCTCCAAGTACGCGCTGCCCAAGTCTTGCTCTTCTTGGTCTCGGAGGGTGAGCAGTTGCGGCAATTGTGTATCCCAATCACAATAGTCTAGCCATTTCGCCCGACGTAATAACGCCCTCCTCCGTGTCTTCGACTTTACCCCGAGTCCGAGGAAAATTTCTTCCGAATCAGGCGTTATCGGCTGGCGGTCCCTGTAGGCTAGCTCGAAGCGATATTGCGTTAGGTGCGCGAGTGTTATGATGAGTACGTGTTCTTCAGCCATGGCGTAATCGGGAAAGAATCGGCCAAGCATACGTCGCTCCTCGGGCTTCACAAGTCCGAGCAAGGCGAAGACCCTATCTCTAGTTTCCTTGCATTCGGCACGGTGGTGGGCGACGAGGAGGTCGTATAGCGGTTGCATTAGTTCCGGATACCGATCAATCGTACGGCTCATAATGAGTGGCAAAGCAGGATATGACCCTGCCTTACTCCCTCCAGGATCGAGGTCGTCCGAGTGGGAAACTCGTTAACGTCTGCCTCTGTGCATAGGATATGCTGGAAGTCGAACCATCTTATTCGGTTATCACTGCAATAGAGCTCGACTTCTAAACCGAGCAGGCATTCCTGAATAACCCAGAAGCGGGTCCAGTACGGGCGACTCGCGAGCTCGAGCATGGATTCTCGCCAGTCGAATCCATCGCTTTCTAGCGTCTTGATAGGAGCGAGAGTATTCCGGGGTAGTCCCTCTGGTAGAGGTATCAAACCGAGCCAAACAGAGACGCAGGTAGCACTCCTATATGTCTGATCCATGCAGCGGACTTGTGAGTTACGCTCTGCATCGTTGGCTTGGTTGATGCAAATCGCGTCGATCCAGAGGTACTCCCACTCGGTATGCCGTGAAGCAAGGCCCAAGTAATACAGACAAGACCATAGATTTGGTCTGACTGGGAAAGGTTGACCATCAAGGCAGATTATCTCGGAAGGGCTGCCGTCCCCCTAGGTGTATGAGACGGCTGTGTACTTATGGTATTGTACCGCTGCGCGACGCACAGTGATGACTGAAAAGTGAAGTTTGCCGTGAGACAATGAGACTGGTCGGAGTAGTCGGAGGTGGTCCGAGTCGAGAGAATCGCGGTATGCCATTGGAGATAGAGGTGATAAAGATCGGAGTCTTTTGAGGGAGTATCTGAAGATAAGAGGAGAGAATTCACAACGTCGTGGCTAGTGGACTCGCTATGAGTTAACGATTCTGACGACGTGAGCGACTCGAGACAGACGGGGTGCACAGCAGGGCATTGTCCCACTACTGGCAAACTATTCGCTGGGCCTGTCGACTAGGCGGCCATTGCCTTAATACCCCGCAACATCATTATCGGTGGTGAGCAGAATATCATTGAAACTGGCGTGGAATCCACTCTACAAATACAATAGGTTCGGGGCTATGCTTCGGATTCCGGCAGAAATGTAAGGTACCGGTTGGGGTGCTGTACCAAAGTGTCGACATACTATTGATCTTTACTTTGTGAGTTATTGTCTTGCTCCTGAATTTCCTTAAGGACTTTGGACGAACGGGACACCGATTTCGCAAACACGGACAGGCAGCGTTACTTGCCCTCTCGGCTCAGCCTCCGGGCGTACCGATTGAGTGTCAAATTTGTTGAGGTACACTGTGTGTGGTGTAATATTCCTGCTCCCGAACTTGTCAAAGTGTCTAAATGACAGGCAATCAATGTCGCAAACAGGTGTATACGGTGCCCAAGATTACTGTACGTTAACAGCACAACGTATTATACTCCTACAATCCCAACGGTACTTTTGCGCTGTTGAGCTTAATGACAAGGAGTAGACAGAAGATCGATACTCCATGAACATCTGTACAGAATTGTACCGTTTGGATGTCACGCACTTCATGTGGTTTTACTTGGTCATCGGCCGCTTACCGTCTCACCTAGAGCCCGAAGGTATATCGCTTTACGAACAGCCTGTCCCATGATTCTTAACATCAACGACTCGCGCTGGCGGGTAATGACTCTATTTCCACGGTAGTTAAAGAAGACAACGAAGGTTGCGTTTCGGGCGAACCGTCAATATCTATAGACCTTTCCTTCGCGGCCTCAACGTGGGCAGACGAGGTGAGGAGGTCTCAGTGCTGGGATGCGCTGTTACTGTTGGTATGGCCGTCCACCCGCCAAGCGCACCGTAATACAGCTGTATGGCTTCGTCCAGCTCAACGGAGGAGTGAACACGGCATTGAAGTAACACAAAATGTGAGCGTCGATGACCTCCACCGATCGAGAGCGCGTGTCGAGCCAAACTAGAGGCCACGACACGGCCAGCCGCAGTGAGCTTACCAACTGTTCTCTCAGACCTCCTTAATGTCGGCATCGAGTAGTGCAATATCTCTACCACCCTGGTTATGCCAGTATTCAGCGACCATTGCTGGATTGCGCAGCCGCGCGGATCTTTCGGTGATATCCGTCCTTTCTGTGCTGCCCTCCCATGATACCCGAAGTATGACTTTTCGATCCCGGCGTCTGCTCTCTTGAGCTATGGCAACCCAGTGCGAGTGGATAGCCAGAACGTGCCACTTGTCACGCTGATGTTCTCCCAAGCACGCACGATGCTCAACGCCCGATGTATACGCCAGCCACTCATCGGGGGCGTTGATCTGAAGTTCCCGCTCCGGCTCCCACGACGTCGCATGATGTGGCCAGAGAACGTGGAGCTCTACTCGTGACTGATCGCATCGTGACACTCTGTGTTCTGTTATACGAACGATATCGGTACGTCTCTGAATCCTGTCCTCGCTTCTTTCGGGCTCGGTATCGGCAGATGCGGCAGCGCGGCGCGTGAGAGGGTTCGGTTGTTGGGGTTGGAAAGCATCGTCCGAGCCCTGATATATGCAAGAAGGGGAAAGAGGGTATTCGGCTCTATTCGTCTCGATCAAGGCAACGATGTGAGGGATTCGGACAGGCTCAGCATGTTCTTGCAGGCTTCGGAGAGTTGTGAGTTCAGGACACCATCGCACTCAGCAGCAGGAGGAGCGACCCACGATTTGAGAATTTCCCACCTGTTCCTGAGCGCCTGGCGCAGCAGTCCACTGCTTTTTCGACTCCTTTTCGACAAGTGTTTGGGTGGTGGTGCAGGTCTTTGATGCACTCCTAGACGGCGATGCATTACCGATTGCTGGTGTTCTGGCATGCGAAGAAGCTGGTGCTCGGAAAGAACCCTGGATTTGCCCCGCCTGTTAGCCCGGGCATTCGTTCTACTGCGCGTCGAAAATCCGCCTGCAGGTTTAGTCCCGGAAAGCCAGGCACAAACCTGCGTCGGCCAACGGTCTCTCTCGCGCATTCGGTATCTGCAACCAAGGCGGGCTGCTGGTAAGTGACGCTAAACCCCCAGAATTCAACGCCCGGTACTAGTAGGAGCCCAACGCCCTGGTGAGCTTACTGGTCGCCTAGATCATCGCGACTGGTAGGGCAGTCAGAAACGGGACTTTCTAGCAGTAGGTCGGCCGGCATGGGCGCCTGTGGCTCCCTTAGCTAAACGTTTCGGCAGCGCTTACCAGTCACGAGCGCCAAGCTCTAGCAGGTTACTGCTAAGACGCCGCTGTTTTCGGGTGGGCACTGGTGACTGACCAAAGCCCCCAGCAAGTTACTACCAGGTCCGGTATCTGACTGCCATGTCAGACGAGCCTACGCCCGACCGGATGGCTTCTCGTGATGAAATGTGACGGGATCTCGCCTACGCATACATGCACTGCTGTGGTCGAAGAAGATAGCCTGTGGATGGTATTGCAATAGACGAATTTTCTCGGGGACAACCAGGTCATCGAGTTTAGCCTATCAGACACAGTATATACATGCCGTCGTTCGCAAAGTGTCGCTCGACGGAACCAGCGAAAAGGTAAGTCCTTGCATTGGGCCTTATTCTGCAGTCACGGAGAATGTTCCAGTGTTATAGGTCAACAGGCTGTTGCCTAGAATCCACTTCGCGTCGTGACTGCTGGTAACGGATGCCTAACCCTTAGTAATTACTGTTCGGTATTATGAAGAGCTTAGTGCCCCGGTGAGCTTACCGGTTACCAGCTGAACGCTTTGGCAGCGTTTACCAGTCACGGGCGCCAAGCTCCAACAAGTTACTGATAAAAGAGGGCCTCTGTTTTCGGTGTGGGCACCGGTTGACATAAGCCCCCAGCAAGTTACGACTAGAAGGCCCGGGGCGTGAGGAAAACACCACCAAAAGCGACAACGAAATTTTTGAAAATAGCACCAACTTGATCGAACCACGCCCGCTCGTGTCTGCAGAGGCGACTTTGGCCACAATGTCATCCTCGGCATTGATTCTGCATCAAAAGGGCCTGCTCGTTGCCGCTAGCGGGCTCTGACCACGAAAGATTCGAGAGCAAGCCACAAAGCACGACGTGTCAAGAGACAACACCATTGCCACCTCCGCAGGCGAGTCGCGGGTTATCACGAGAAGCACAACCGACCGCGCCCAAACACATCAACGCTACAGCCACTGACAGGTTATGGGCCGCCTATCACCCCCGGCAAAGTTTGCAACGTTCCGCGACAGCACCGACGACGAGCCCGACAGAAAGGTATCACCTCCTGCACAGAGAAAGCACCAGACATCAGGCATGCTACGATCAGTGCCGCAAACTACTACAGATTACAGATAGATCGGTCACCTGTCGTCCCTCCAACGCACGACAATGTCTGCGGAATCTGTGCACGAGCTTTCATACTCAGTAATCGGACGAATCGACCCGATTGAAGCATTGTGTTTCGCGGATCGAGCCCGACCCCAGGCGGTAGACGGCGGTGGTGGTCGAAAGATGGAAACATAGAGCCACAAAGGAACCCGGCAGGAACCAGCAAAAAGATGTATGGTTCAACTGAGATACGGTGCACGCGAGTCTGAGAGGATGCAGACAAGAGAAACAAGCGAAGCCGAGCGCTGGGGGGAGACTATAGGTACGCTGGACCAGACATGGTGGTAAACACCATCAGAGCCAAAGCAGGAAGACGCGAAAGAGGGAATCCAGAGATGAGGAAAACAATCGTGATGGGAGAAAAGCAATGCAGCAGGAAGAGACTCTTCAACAGAGAGAATCAGCATACAGGAAAAACAGTGCAGCGAGGAATTTGGAAACAGCTAGCCTTGATTCAATAACAGGGCGAAGTGGAGCGTCGCGGTTCGTCGTGGACGCGTCGGCTGTTGGCCAAACCTTGGTTTCCGGGCATAGCTGTGGATAAGAGCGGCCAAAATCGAGTAGCAATCAAACAATCAAACAATCAAACAATCAAACAATCAAACAATCAACCCGGGGCGTGAGTCCTCGAGGCAATACCCTATCGCGTCAGATGTTGCTTTCAAACCGGCGTAGGCACCAGGATGGTGATGGTATCCTCCTTTGAACATGTCGCCGTACTCCTGGAGACGTGCTCTGGCCCTTCTTGACCAGGCCCAGCTCTCCATGAACCCGTTTGAAGCCCGAAAAATGGCTTCAGACTCGGTTGCCACGCGGGAAATACTGCAAAAGCTTGAACAGGCTCTGCATGGTCTCAAGGACGCAGGGCATCAGATACTTAAAAGCAGGCTCAGTCAACACAACTCATTTTGTAAAGAAAATCACACAGTAAATCACACATAGTGCGTCTTATTTGTGGCACGCATTCCAAGACAATGGAGGAACCGCAAGCTTATCGAGGAAGTCGCTCCGCTGAAACGGAATTTTTCTTCAAAACCTTGCAACGTGAAGTGAACTTGGCGGATCGCCCCGACGCTCGTTCAGAAGTTGCACTCACCGCCCACAAAAAGCGATGTATAAGACAGGTTCTGGAACACCGGGGCTTTCATGCTGCATTTCAAAGATTGTCGCGCATTCCAGGAATGTGGCCGGGACTTGTGGTAGGAACCCTTCACAAACTCATCAGCCTGAGATGCGACGAGGTTCGTACCGAGCCCTCCTGTTTCTCTTGAAGAAATACACTGACCACGCATGCAGGAATTACTGAATTACCTCCACTTCATCTATGATACTTGGTTGCAACTCGCCGGGGGCAACGAAAGTGAATTAGAGAAGATCGACTGGATTACTGTCGAAGCTGTTCAGCTTAGGTGTCCGAGATTTTCTGCGTCAGATGAGCGAGCGCTCCGTGGCGTCATTCTCAAAGGCGACATCTTCGCTAGTTTCGGCCATGCCGAGCGGCAAGCAGTATTTGCGACGTTGTGCTCGTTCGATTTCCCAGTTCCATCTCTGTCAACCTTTTTCAAAGATCTCGGATATCTCGAACGGTGCGGCAATAGCATGAAGCATCTAGTCCCTATGAAGAGAAGGGACCCGACTGTTCGGAGGATGCTTCTTCAGAGCTTCAACCCACCGTCCCTGCCAGCACAGTCAGCACACCCGACCCTGGATGAATTCGATAACCTTGAGGCTCAGTTTCAACTTGCCATGAGGCGTCTATGGCTGTTCACGATGAGGGAATTCCACTCGATTCGTACCGACCCTAGCCTCTTACCAAGATTTGCGAATCTGGCCATTGAACTGGGCTTTGACAATGATGAAATTCGTTCTCTCAAAGCGCTTTCTCCTCATCGGGAGATAGCAAGGCAGGCAATGGCATTGGTCCGGTCTTCGCAGGATCAGGATTATAACTCCGTTGCAGACGAGACCATCGTTAGTCAAATTGCCCAAGCATTTTCCGAACACCGACATGTGCCAAAAAGACAAACCTACAGCGCTTTTACAACCAATGTAACCACAGCGAAGATGCATGTGCGCCCATGGCTTGATTCTGAAGCGTATTCGACGGACCGCCCGAATCTCGTCGTTGAGATCCTCGACCAACAGCCACTCGTAAAGAAGAAGGAAGTCACGAGTTTGTTTCTTCTTCGATCGATCTACAAAGCCATTTTCCACGACGATGTAACCTATCTTGCCGGTGGAAGCAGAGCAGAGCCAAGCCACAGTGAGAATCACCAACCTGTCCGGAACCACCGGACAAAAGAGTCACGGGATCATGCGGCCACACGGCAGGCAGATTCAACGGTCACACTTGATTCCACAAATACAAGAACGCGGCGGGTTAGACTGCAGATCACTCAAGCGGGAATCAATTGTGATGAGCGCTATGTAGACATAAATCTTGACGACGAAAATGGGCATAATCGAATCGAAAGGATCATTCAACAATTAATGGTACAATACCGGGTACTACCTTTCTCACCGATGGGCTACCCGCTGTTGGCGGAAGAATGCTACGGAGAAATTGTGCGAAAAGGCCGCGACTGCCTTTACCTCACGGATGATAAGAGGAATCTTGATGTATAGATTGACATAATCGAGTTTACGCCATCAATAATTCAGCGTCCGAGCTTGTCCGTGAAGGTTCCAAGAAATTTCTCAGGCCATCCATCACCGTTGCCCTCATGCCGTCAATGCGCGTCCTCGTGCCTTCCAAACTCGTCCTCAGGCCGTCCGATGTCACGAGATCGCGTGCCAGAGTGGTGTCAAGGGTATCACGAGTCATGGAGAAGCCATGACCCCTTTTATTGCGGCGACGCGCCGCTCGCACGGCGCGATCTCTCTTTCCTTTTCTTTACGTTACGTCTTGTATCTAGACCTGACCCTACGGGTCATCACAACCCTTCTACTTCTTTGACCCTTCTCTCTACAGCCGCGACCCTCACACTTATGTAGATCCCACCCCAGGTCTCAAGCCCGAATCTCAACCAGCAGCAAAGATAGAAGATGGTTAGGGCTGTATATTATCTTAGAAGGCCAAGAAAAAGGCCCAGAAAGGAACTTAGGTCGAAACCCAGGGGGGTATTCGCTTCTAGAAAGTGACGCATCTTGCAGCTGATGAGTGAGAGGATTGTCCAGCTGTCGACAATACACGTTAGCAGCTTCGTATCATCCTACCATCAGTCGAAAAGAAATAGGTCAGTCAGGATATAAGGCAGCGATTTTCACAGGACAGACCAAAGAACCACCTTCTTTGACACCGCGAACTTTTTAGGGTAAAAATTAATAAGTATAACGCTATCTAACACATTATTCAAAGACCTATAATAGATTTCACCTTATGTGTTCAAGTCCATTACCATTCTCTCAATCCATCGAACTATTTACAAGCATGTGTCGCATTTCACCAAGCCCTTTTATCTCGGCATCTTCAGCTTAGTAGAGAAGTGGACTTGTAGCGTCCCGAGAGACCGGCCCGGAAAGGTACTCGAGAAACCGCTGTGGATCTCCCTCCATGAAAGGCCCTGTCCTTTTAGTTGAACCAAGAGTTTATTCTTCCTGTTCTGATTCCTGTTCTGAAAACGGGCATCTGGACTTGGCAGATCGCCTCGCAAGCTTTCGTCCCTTTAGCGAAGAACCTGAAGGCCGACCAACTGAGGGATAGCAGTGCGTCTGGTGTCGTTCTGTGGACGGCTGCTCCCATTGCAGTTGAAATGTCGTTACAAATCCATCTGTGATACGCTTTAGGACTGCATCCTTGAGAGGCCATTCATCATATTGCGCAAAGAAGGATCTGGGGTCTATTCCGTTATCGGTAGAAGCAGGAGAGACCTGCGGGGTCAGAATTCCACTTGTCCTTGGTCGATTTGTAGCCCGCTCTGACCTTCGTCTTAGCTCTGCTGCTGCCTGGGATGACGTGTCCCGTGGTCTCAGAGCTCTGCTGGTGCCAACAGTCTCCTGGAAGTTTTTTTTACGTTTGGGTTTTGGCTGATCGCGTTGGTGAGAATTGTTATCACAGCCCTTGGGCCCTTGCTGGATTCTGTCCGGGTTGGCTTGATCTCCGATGCAGTCATCATTGGTTCCATGAGCGCCATCCTTATCGCTAGATTCCGGGTCCGAATCGACTTCAGCATAAGCGCCCGCTGGTAGTCGTGATCTGTGAGCTCGGCGATGGACCCGAGATAAGTGTACAGGAGGAGCATCTGATGCTCTCGTCTCAGCATCCATGTGCATTTCGTCCGGTGAAGGTGAACAAATGCTGGAATGAAACGCCGTTTATGTGATCAGCGGCTCGCTTCGGTCGGTTGAGCCGAGGCTACTTTCGTCACCACCAGCGTTCGGCCATGGATTGGGAGTCTCTTGTCCGGAGAGGAGTTGACGTGTGTAATGTTCGGCGTTACATGGCGTGTCTTGGCCTAGGGATACCAAACTAGAGTACGGCAGCCCAACTTCGACTAACGCTGGGCTTTGCATCGTGCCAGACTTTTCGGCAGGCTCTCTCGGGGATTCTGAGGCCTCTCTAACTTCCGCGCTGCTGGATGGCACGACTTGTTGATGTTGCAGCCAGGTCGTAAAGTCATCATCGGCTGCTTGACTCACTTGGGGCAGCTGCTCGTTGTAGGGCGCGGCGCTTTCTGGGACAGGGGTCTCTAAACTGACAGTCGACGCATTCTCAGTCGACTTTTGAAGGAGAGCCGGGTCTGCTGTGTTGCTGGCAGCTTGGGGACCTGAGTCTGGGTGCGAGGGAAACATTGCCGCAGCGAATGCCCCGGCTGGCAACGAAGGGAACGGGACTGGTAGGCAGTTGGCAGACCAAGCCGCCGTCTCAGACGAATTCTCGCGCGTGTTGAAGTCCACTGCCACAGGCTTCTTGGCTGGGCTGTGGCCCATATCGCCTGACGCTGGGCAGCCATCAATCCGCAGGTACGTCATATCTTTTGAATTGACTTTGCCGTCAATATCTACCTCTGGAAAGAATTGGTAGGACGCGACTGAGTTCTCGTCACTATGACCCTTGTTCTGATCGAGTGTAGTCGTCGTGTCGTCTGAAGGAGGTATCGAGGTTCTTCCCACCGTCGAACAGGAAGGACCGAGAGTCTGTCTGAACGGGCTTCTGGCTGCCGATGGACGCACAGCTTGCGCTGGAGCCGAGTAGAATGAAATGTTGTCAAGATTGATTGGCATTTTGGGCTGAGCGTTGGAAGAGTCTCAAAGGGTCTGATGCTTAAGAAGATAGGAGTGTCGAAGTCTATCGGCCAGACGCCTTCATTTAAATAGTCGATGTTCAGGGACGAGTGCAATGCGTTAACGCTTCCATGTCGTCTGCGAAGCAGAACAGCGAGCACACCAAGAGGTTCCCTCTGAACGCCGATATCTGCGCATACGATGCCTGGACTGCCCAGGCACATTCCTCCCCAACGTTCGTAGACAATGTCGTATTGTTGCCAATCAGCAGTCGCCAGAAGTATACGCCCCTTATGGATGCTACTCAACCTGAGACCGGCCCCCCAAAGTCCCGTATGCATCTCTCAATAGTTCTCGGAGTAGCCGATGGCCTGATAAAGCATGGTATGCCATTTTGAGGACTGAACTGGTCATATCGCCGTTTGGGCTGCCATTCCGTTTGACCTAGGTGTCATGCGCTGGGTAGGAGGGATGCTGGCTAGGCTGAAGCGCAAGGCAGACGCGCATGAAGCGCTGTGCAGCAACCCTCATAATGCATCAATATCAAGAGGCTCATGCCTCAATAGGCATTCAGCGCGCGCATCTTCAGAGTCGGTCCGAATGTGACTTAGGAGCCAAACAGCGAAATGATCGAGGTCGGTCCAGGCGCCGAGTCCAAGGCAAGGTTGCCTGACTAGCACCCTTGCGTCACCAAGTTGGCGCCTCGTGAATAGGGGGTAGGTTGTGACTGGCAGTCTATCGCAAAAGCAGCCGAAAATGAGTTACATCAGCGCATGACGATACTCTTTACTCTGCCTCTCGTGGTAAAACACTCAGCCTGGTTCCCATCTCCGGTTCACGACTATACAAACCTCCTACTCTTGAGTCAGAACAAGCTTATAGGGATGAGGTTTGGGGTCGAACCTAGAGTAGACGGAGCTAAAGAGGAAAGCGCCTAGGTCGTATGGAACGTCTCGACATGGGGAGTGAGCCGGAGGCGAGATAACGGCGTAACTGAGTAAGGTAGGAACGTAAGAGATAGAGGTACACTGCCCTCGGGCGAGGGTACGACTTAGGAGAAGCAGAAGAACCCGAGCGATGAATTTTCGTGAAAGTATTAGGAGGGAATGTAGATGATACAAGATGTTGACGTCGAGAGGAGGGCGACGCCGTATTTAAGGGCGGCGTCCATTGGCACGGGCAGGGGTGCACGTGCAAAGCGGCGTGGGCGCCATGCCCGATTGGAACGTGTCAGATTGGATGCCTGAAAATGGAGGCAAGAAGGCACGCACGGGGCAGAATTATCCCTACGTGCACTAGCCGAATGCGGCTTAGATCCGCAAGCCAACATGGGCGCAGAAGGCACACTTCGTGACAATTACACATACAGAGACATATACACAATACACACGAATTGACGCCCAATACCTCATAATTCGACACAAGGCAACCAACTGCGCCACAAAGCAAAAGCTTCGATAATGATGACTCCGGCATCATTGTCCCTTGTTCTGCATTATATAGCTACGCGCCCACAGTGACAAGTTGCGGCGGGCGTAACAAGTAGCTACTAAAAAGATTAAAAATATAATAACCGGATATAATAATTAAATTTACTACTAGGCTTAAAGTATCGTTAACGTTTAGGCTTATTAATAATAATACGGCGGCGTTAGCTAGCGGGAGGTAAATGGGGAGGGTAAGAGCCGATATTAGGAGTAGGAGTATAGGCGTCCGAATCTATTATAGTCGTAGTATATATAATACCCTATTTTTATAAATAATAATAAGAAATTAGAAGGAATTTAAATTACCTCGAGTTACTCAAAGGAAAAATATATAAAAGGAAAAAAAAGCGGATATAAAAGGCCTTTTTATATTATAAAAAAAGAGGCCGGTAATTTACTAGTCGGAAGATACGTACTATAGGTCGTAATAATTAGCAGTCACGATAAAAGGTACCTGCCCTTAATAATAGCCGTATATAATAGCATAATTCTCAGTTAGAACGTAAGATAATATTACTACGCTATTAATAGACTCGGGTTTATTTTATCTCCCCTTAATCCCTCCCTACCTCCTTCCTCTAAAATCCTCCTTATTTCCTTCCTCTATACTTAACCTCCACTCCTTCTAAGCTTCCTTAGCTTTTCCTCTATACTATATTTTATAACTTTTCTCTTGCTACGCCTTGCTCTTTTTTTTTTATTATATACTTATCTTTTCCCCTCTACTTTCTTATACCTTTTTTTTTCCCTTTATAATAAGCTATTACTTTTATTATTTTCCGTTAGCCTTCCTTATATATATTATCCTACGGACTACGATATTATTAGCTTCTTTTAGGTAAAGTAAGTTATATTACGGGCTATACTAATTATTTATACTAATTATATTATAAGCTAACTTAAGGGTCTAAGGCCGGAAAGAAACGTAAAGTACCGGACGAGTACTCTAATAACCTTAATACCGTTAGGTTCTAAAAGCAAATAGATAATATAACCGAGGCTAAGAGGGAGGTCTATAAGCGATATATTATAATAAATACTCGGTTTAGCTACGAATTTATAAAGCTTAAAAAAATAACCGTATACTAGATTATATCTTTTAATAACTAGGCTAAATAAAAAAACTAACTCCGCTAAGCTAATAAAGAATATTAATATAATAATCTTTTTTATTTTATTATCCTATTAACTATATCGTAGTATATAAAAAGGAAATTACCCGTTTTAAACCGATACCTAAGCAGGAAGCTCCTCGGATCTAGCAACGTTTAATGATCTTAGCGATATAGAGATAGGCATTAACGACGAAGAATAAGTAATCGACACTATTGAGGACGGTATACCTGACGAGGACGCTTCTACGCCTTCTTATATTAAAAGCATAGACTAAATTGCCGAAGAGTACTATAATATAATATAAAAGGTAAGTATTTCTAAAATAATAAAAGATTACGTTTCTCTTATTATAAATTAATAACTATCAGTCGTCTTATATACTACGTTCCGGTTAAACTAGCTTATTATACTTAAAATCCTCTAGATAAAGCTTATGACTTTTTACTGCTTTTTATTATAAGTTAATAAGGTTCTTTAGCTCTATGGTCGAGGAGCCTAGTCTCTCCTATTAGCTTAAAGCTTCTTTTTTACTAAAAAGATCTTTTTATATAGCGTACTTTATTTTTTTAGGATCCGATTATCGTAAAAGATATTATAAAGCCTCTAGGAGAGCTCGTAATTAAAGTATATTACCGCCGGTATATATCTCTTTTTCTCCTTTATCTATTTATTTTAACTTTATAGAGCTTAAACGTTTAAAAGATCGGTATTTTAAAAGCGGCTAATAGGTCTTATATTTTATATTAAGCAAAAGAGCTATTATTTATATAGTATTCAAATATATAAGATAATTAGAGATATTCTCTATATTTTTAAAGAATATAATAACTAGGTTTCCTCCCTAGGTCTAGCTGGAATTTAAAGGAAAGCTTATTTATTTTTAGAAGCCGACTTTAGGGTTTTAAGAATCCTATTTAATAAATACAGTAATAAACTTATAGTTATTATCGAGTATTTAAAGATACTATCTATAAAGGACCGCTATCTATCGTCCTAAGAGACTTTCAATATAAGCCTTTTAAATAAGGTCTTTACGTTTAATAACTTCTCGACGTAAAGATAGTAAAGATTTATCTAGGTACGCTAGGAGTAGCTAGATAGATTTAACTTATAAGGCTTTATAATAAACAGTCACTATAACTAATAACAGTTTACCTAGGCTTATCACTCGCTAATTACCTTATAACATGTACTAATTATTACATTGATTATTACATGGGTTATTACATGGGTTATTATATTGATTATTACATTGATTATTATATCGATTTTGCATCGATTATTACATCGATTTTACACCGATTATTACATTGATTATTACATGGGTTATTACATTGATTATTATATCGATTTTGCATCGATTATTACATTAATTATTACAATGATTATTACATCGATTTTGCATCGATTATTACATTGATCATTACATTGATCATTACATGGGTTATTACATAGGTTATTCTCCACCCTTTACTTGGTATCTTATACCTTGAGGCAGTCTGGGATGAAGGGGTTTAGCTTAAGTGGGTTCGTGATACAAAGAAGGGGCTTAGTGACAACTTTGACTATTAGTATAGGTCCGAGGAAGAGTCTGATGACTTTACGGCTATTCTTAAGATCACACTTCTATCCTATGAAGATAGCTACTTTAGACAATAAGTATAGAGTAGACGTAGTTATGAGACTTCTCGATAGCAGGATAAGCTAGAGACGTACCTTAGGTAACCTCCTAAATCCACGGAAGATCCTGTTAAGTGGTAGAGAAACTACTAGTTAACGTATCCTCTACTCAGTAAACTAGCTCTTAATATATTAGCAATACCAGCCATGGCTACTAACTGTAAGAGGGTATTTAGTACTACGAAGCTAACCCTAACGTCGTAAAGGCACTTAATAAAGCCTTAGACTATAGGTTAGCTGCAGTTAACGAAAAATTAGCTAAAAAGGAAATGTTACGGCCAGCTAGTCGTAGTGAGTATGTTTGCAGAAGTTAAGGCTGCGATACTAATAAACAGCGTGTCGTAGTCGTGGATAGCTTCCCTGAAGCTATGTCTGTAAGTCGTGAGGTAGGTAAGGCTTCGGTGATCAATCGTAGTCTTGTCAGAAGGGTTCTCAGTGAAGATAGCTGAAAGTGATCGCAAGATCTGATACTAAGTTGATTGCTGAGAAAGCTATGGAAAGTCTGTCCTTGAGCCCGGCTCAAGTCCATCCTATATACAAGTCCCGTATACTATCTGAACAGTTCCTTTGTGGTTGGGACCGATATCACGATGTCGGTCCTACAGGGGTGGACCGCCTTTGTCTTGTCGGTCCTGTCCATGGACCGCTTATCGTCCGTCGGTCCTTCTTATCATCACGTGACTTGCCCATAGTTCTTCCGACCCGAGAGGAGTCACCCTGAATCCGTTCCTCCGCATATATGGTGTGGTAGCCGCCGCAGGCCTTGTGGGGCGAGACCCTGGCCTCGTCATATGTGTTGGGTCGTAACAGGAAAGCTATGCCCATAGGGGTTAAGATTGGCTCACATATTACATTATGAATAGTTGTGAATAGCTTTACTTATTTCCTAATTAGGTAATTAGTATGGGCGTCGTCGGGTCACGTGTTCTATAGATTTGTTTGATATATTGGCCAATAGGGCAAATTAACCAATCTTGGGGAAAAGGCAGTCAAATTAGTCAAATCTTGGCGTTGATTTGTTTGTTTGCTTTGGCGGCAGCGCTGCTGGTGCCACAGGCACCAGCCACTGTCTCAGGTATCCACAGTCCCACAGGGTTAGATTCTTGATCCTTCAAGGGGATTGCCTTGTGCCTGTATCAAGCGCAAGAGGCTAGAGAATATTTGCGGTTAGAGAATATCGCCAACATTGGCGTGTGAGGAAAGAAGAAGCCAGCCAGGCAAAAGGGGGCAATTTATACCCTGCCAAGAGGGTCCCATCAGATGTGGATGGCAGATGAGGATGGGCAGTGATGGGCAGGGATATTCAACAGGGGAATATTTATTTAATCCGGTTCGTGATCCTTGTCAAAAGAGTCAAAGCAATCAATCAAGTTTGAGGCTCATAACTGACTTGATTGACTGGCGATGACTTCATAATTGATTGATTGATTAATTGAACTTGATAAGTTTACTTGCCTTGGGGTGGGCCCTGACTAGACATATTCAGCATGCCTTACATTTTGAGCTGGGTATGTCATTTCTGCTCTCAGACATACTCGTCTACCGTCACAAATCGTTGCCTCTACGATGGCCACTACTGTTACGTTAACAGAAAGGGCGTGAAGAGTAAGCGATGCGTGGGCATTGTGGAATATAGAAGGAACGGCATAGTTCGAGGCCAACCTCGGCCTTTCCGTGGCTACTAGGAGAGTTATACATATCCATTTCAATATAAAGAAAGATCTGATGGAGAGTTATGGGCCGACTACAACTGAGGTGATGGCAGGAAAAGTGTAAGAACATGAATCAATTGATTGCTATGAGTTCACGGAATAAGAATTAGTGTCAATCTACCTGCTGCTAACACTGTAAAGGTATACCATGATGTCGATCACTTGTCTAAATTCTGTCTTGAAAAAAGAAAACCTAGTTTTGGATGTGTCATCTCTTAAGGTTGGGCTGCAAAATGGAGCCATGCTCCAAATACAATTTCTCATATAGACTAAGACTCATGACCTCTTAGCAAAGAGCCTGATATCTATTAAGAGATACGTAATACACCATTTGTCAATTTTGTAATCCTATTAGTTACTCAAGCCCGTCGGAATTACTAGCGTCATTCTATATCTGCTATTTAACAAACAGAAAATCAGGCATAATACTCAAGTAGGAAAATGCGGTCTGCTCTTTGCATAGTTTTAGTCGCCTTTTCCAGATTTGCCGCCGCAATCTGTGACGCCAATGACGCATCGCTATGGCTTCCGAACCCGGGCGATACGTTTGACAGCGTGCTTAGACCTCTTGGCATTAGCGCTAAAGAGTTTCGAGAGGATAACAAAGATGTAATAGGAGATGTTGACCGTATTGATTATGCTAGCACCTACTGCGTCCACTACATCACGTCACTTTCCAAAAACTACTACACGACCTCCGGCATCCGCTTTTTCTCCCCGTTTTCAGATGACTACCAAAAAACCGTTGGAACCACGACTCAGACTCAGACTCAGACTCAGACTCAGACCCGATCAACCAAGCCAGAACAGTCGCCGACCCAAGCCCAACCTCTCGACAGTTCGAAAGCCCTGCAAGACACACAGAGAAACTCTACAACGGGCGCCAATCTAACCGCGATACCAACGGAAACAGAGAGGCCCAAGACGACAACGGATAGTGCTGCAACAGCTGCTCCGCAACTATCCGAAAGGAAGTGCTGTGCACAGAGAGATCGCGAGGTAGACCTCACCAATGACTTTCAGACTCAAGCAGAAGAATTCTGTATCAATCACGGTATCTTCAACTTTTATCCGGGGTATATACTAAAGAATAGAACGGGGAATATTAATGTCAAAGTGGGAGAAGAGGATTTTATATTTTCTATCGAATGGGTTGCAGCATGTGATAGATGGCAATTCCAGAATGGACTCCAGCCAGCTGCATACGACAAAACTATCACGTGTCTGTCAGTGATGTCTAAAAACTTTTCGAACTGTGGTGACGGAAAGAAGTCAAACGGTGGTTATATGGACGTCGGGTGTCTCAGATACTCCTCTAGAGCCAAGGGCTGGGCCTTAGGTGGTGGATCCTCGGACTAGGGTGTCTGGAAGCTTACATTAATTAAAGATGACACGTATTCATATAATCTATTGTCGTTGTAACTATCTCCATTGCATCCTTCTATTCGCTATTACCGGTGAAGATAAGAAAAGTATCCTATCGGCTGCGGCATGACGTCGGTACATTGTGTCAGGTGCGCTGGAGGGGCACCGGGGGAGCACCGGCATAGTACCGGGGGAGTACCGGCTACGGAGTGGGTCAGAGCGGACTATTGTTAATCCACCCGCAAAACCATAAGAAGGCAGAGGCTGCGGAGGAAATCCTAGAGGAAGATAGGATCGAATGCTAGTCACAACCAATACCTACCAGTGCCTCGTCGACTCCTTCACTCTGCGCGAAGCCCTCCTGACACATTGCCTCCAGTTTTCTCCAACAGCCGAATTTTTCGATTGGGGGCACCGGTCGGGAGTCAGACGGGGATGATGCGGATTATCATGGAATAATGCGTGATTTGGTATTTCCCCTCATGAGAGGTACGTAGCTATGTACCGACATCATGCCGCAGCCGATGGGATAGACCCCATGCCCTTCGGCGATAGGTCACCCCGAGTCTTGCCCTCACCGTGGTTGACCATTTGATATTCTTGAGATCATCCTGTGTTCAGCCCTCTCGTCAAGGTGTATTGTACACCCGGTCCGACATGCGTTTTCCTGAAGCAAGTGCACGCCCACTCCTTACCCTAGGCATACCGGTTGCGATCAACCTTGAGATAATCGGATAACACAAATGAAGCCGAATTGTTTGGATACTAATGCTATCCTATCCCATCGGGTGCTGACTGACGCCATTTTTGCCAAGTCCCAAAATACCCACTTTCTGCCCTTTCTTACCCCGCATTCAAAGGGGTACTTTGACGATACGACATTTATCACTATGCTCTTTTACCCATTATCACCACTATTACTACCATTTTGATTGATGCTGCAATGTCTTCTAGTGATTCTGATGCTTCTGATACTTCTGTACGTAGCTGTATAGTAGTTGAGGTTAGCCCAGAAGACCTTACTACTGCCTGCAATACAGACTGTACGCCAGAGCGCTGTGACGCAGCAACAGTCCGGCCCTACGAACCTCCGGCTACTGAGCATGGCCCTCCGGGCTCCTTCAGACCCTTTAACGTGCCAGTCCGGGCCCAAGAGGTACAGGGGCTTCCAGCAAGCCCCTTAGATCTATTCCTCCAATACATTCCGCAGAGCCTCGTAGAGCAGTGGGCCCAGTGGACGAATGCGGCACCGTTGTCGTCTAAGGAGGGCCCTTGGCCCAGAACGTCAACAGTATATAAGTGGAGGAAGACTTCAGCAGATGAGATTATCAACCTACTGGTCAAC